TCGAACGTCAATATTTCTATCCTTTCATGGTTATTATAAAGATATTAGATATAACAAACGTAAACAATACTAAGTATGAAGAAGCTAAACGTAGATAAATACGCATATTATGTTCAATCTCCCACATCTAACCTGCAGGTAATTACATTGCACATTAGTCTCGCACACCGAAAAACACATTTCAACAAAAACAAACGCGAGGATTTCTCCTGAACACCGATAATTTGTCAGGTGGGAAGGATTCATAGAGTATTTATGTGAATAGACGCGACATAGCAAAGTTGTTTTCCAAGTATCGATTTTTACCAAATTAAATATGCATAAAGTATCTTTTTCGAAGTATCGAACAGTTTTTACGGTTTGATCACGGATTTTTTATTCTCAGTTAATGAATGTTGGAAAAGCCCATTAAAATGGTATTTAAAATTACTTTTATTTTTAAAACATGATGAACGAGCCTACGGCCCATCTGGTTTTAAGTGGTAATCTTCATAGGTTTGACAATCTAAACGAGGCTACCATCATCTTGAGACACAAGGTCTAAGTTTTTTTTTTTTTAAGTAACGTGTCTCCAACGCCTTTGGCATTTATTTTGCCAAGTCTAAGTTTTAATTTTATTGTATAGTTGTACGCCTGCCCATCCTTCTTCCAAGCCAGAAGGTATGACTGCTTTGGTGTAGAAATTAGCAGACAAGTAGTACTTACTTGTGGAGGCTTACAACCCGCCCTACCAACCAAAAAAAAAAAACCGGTATTTTTATTACATTGCCTCGGTTTTTTTTCTAAATATCGTTACCTGAATTTATATTCTTGTCGTGTGAACTCAAATATTAAAGTTTTACTAAACCATGAACTCCAATACCTTTGGTCGGTTTCGAATTATGAACAAAGAAAGGTTAATTTTTTTTTTTTCTTTGCCAAAACTCGTGGGAACAGCCCACGCGGACCCTACCGTAGCGCCAACGTCTTCTTCAAGGGGAATGAAATATCTTAACGCGACTCTCTTAATGGCTCTCATTTATTCTCTCCAGGATCTCGCACTGAACGTTCGTAATTATTGCGTTTCCAGTAGGGTTATTAAGTTTTGCTTCGGTTAAAATGAGAAATGGCCGCATTTATTCGATGTTCAACTTGATATCTCCGAAGGGCTGGAAATTTAATTTCAGATGTAGGTATTATGATGTAATTATTTTAACAGTGGCGTACCGCGGTATCGTCAAATTTTAATTGAGAATTGTTTCTCACTAGACACTTAAAGGATATTTATTCTTGCGAAGCCTCTTAGTTTGTCTTTCTTTTGCAATTTATAGACAATTTAAATATGGCTTTAAAAATTATATTATTTAATTATTCTTTTTCTCAGTCGGACACTCTTGTCGGAGTGGTCGTGGTTGCGTTGACGCTGTATATGCAGTAGGACCTGTTAGGTCGCTCATGCTCCCGACAACCGCCCTCCAAGCAATGCGCTTCCAGGTCTGGCGGCTCGAAGCGTTACGAGTACATTCGACCATATTGGACTCAGTTGTCTTCTTTATTAGGTCAGCCCAGCGGGTCGGTGAGCGGCCGCGTGATCTTCTGCCTTCCACTCGGCCTTGGACTATCAGTCTTTCCATCGAGTCCTCTTTTCTGGAGATGTGACCAAATAATTTTAAAACCCTTAGTTGCACTGTTGACGAAAGTCGGTCTTTGATACCGAGTTCTTTGAGGATGGATTTAATTATTAAAATTATTTATTTAATTTATATGGCTTTAAAAAGTTATGGTAAAATTGTCATGCACAATAAAAACATGGCGTAACCGTGGTCTAAAGGATAAGACGGCTGGTGCATTCGTATCAAGCGATGCGACTGTGCCGGTGTTGAAATCCCGCAGGCAGGTGGCAATTTTCCTAATGAAATACGTATGTACCTAACAAATTTTCACGTATGACTTCCATTGTAAAGATATAGCATCACAACAACAATTAATACAATAATTATAATTAGCGTAATTACTGCGTAGGGCATCATGTTTCGGGTTGAAGGGTGGGGCAGCCGTTGTATTGAAAATTTGAGAATTAAGACTCATGTCTCAAGGTGAGTGTCGATATTGACGTGGTCAATGTCTATTGGCTCCGGTGACCACTTAACACCAGGTGAGCCGTGAGCTTGTTACCCATATTAGTATATAGGATCAGACTTTATATACAATATTATAACACTTTTTTTTATTTAATAGCTAACACATCCTGAGACGTCTTGTTTATAGCTTTACATAGTTCTATTTTATCAAAGCAGCTATCAGTGTTTTTCTAAAATTGCGTTTCTCTGATAGTACTAAAAAAAACCAGTTTTCTCAACATTTTGTAGAATATAATTATGAATAATAATGTGTCATCACTGCTCAAATATCTGAAGCAGGCCGCCGATTTGTGTCTTGTTCATAGTTATGCGCCGTGTGCACGTCTTACACGGCGCAACCAAATACTTTCATGAAACGACGAATATGTTGCTCTACCAAAAATAATTTGAGAAAACATAATACATACACACAGTCAAAATCAAAATTTGTATAGGAAATCTGATCATGCGTGTTTGGAGGTGGCATATTGAATATTAAGTATGAAAATGTGTGACCTCTTTTATGTCCTTTATGCCTTTATGTCAACTAATAAGGTTCAGTGTGCTTAGTGCGACTTTTTTAACGTTTTCGGTAGTGTAAAAGTTAACGCAAATTTGTATGCAGTTGGAACAACGCCCCTGGCGGCAAACGTAGGCAAACGTTCCAAATCCATACAAATTTGATTTAACTTTTACGTTATCGAGAACGTTAAAAAACTTGCACTAAGTACACAGTTGTATTCTATAACCGACGCCCTATCGTTCAAAGGCTGGCTGCTTCACGACAGAAAGAGGCGGGATTGGTACCTACCCACACGTACGACTACGTTTAAGACACAATATTACTGATTAATTGATATTAATCTCTCTGATATAAACCGCCTTTGCGGTTGTATTAATTATTTTTTTGTTTATGTACACACAAAAAAGAAGACATAGTACAGAGTAATAGGAAAATTATGATCAAAGGCACTGCTTATTTCTTTAAGAAATCTCTTCCAGCAGACCTGCGAGTGGATTATGAGAATAATAATTAAAAGTAATGAGTAGTTTTGGACGTGGGTGTCGTTGTGTGGGGAATAAATTCCGTTGAAAAAATAGTGATTACGGTATTGGTTCGTGAATGATTCCTTTAGACATTCAAGTTCGTTAGATAAAGCCTAAACTGACACTTGTTTGAATACAGTAAAAGATTCGTATGGTTTCTTGCTGTGGTGGCTGAGAGAATTTTATCCGATCGCGACAGGGTTATGAAAAGCCGCCGTCGCCCAAAAAATGTCTTGTCGGATCGGATCCCCCGGATTCACTCTCGGTGCTTTTAGGCCTCTCAAGCACTGATCACTAGTGTTAGCAAATTCTCTCAGGTTGAACACGTGAGCTCACCTACCATCCAGGCGTAGCTGGAATAGCCTCTTAGGTTACAAGCGAATAGGTAGGGAAATAATTAAAAAAAAAAAGCTGAGAAACATACGACCTGCGGTTGATCTATTAATAGATAATAGTAGTCCCGCAGTAGTCGAAATTCGACTATAATTAATTGGAATTGTAAGTTTGTACAATATTATGTTTCTATTTTCAAAGACTATTATACTTCTATAATCACAAATTTAAGTCTTTAATTTAAAGACAAACAATATTTAATCTATTCTCAATTAGACCACAGACGTCAAGAACAAAAGTTTAACAATAAATAAATAGTATGCATGCGTGTGTGCGTCAAATACATGGTAGTGTGTGTGTTTTTTTTATTAATTTATTGTATTATTAAAGCATAATTTAAAAAAAAAATTAGCATTGTGCACTTCTTCTCTATATTCTCTATAGTGTGGAAAATTTCATATTCATCCGTCCGCGCAATTTACGTAAAAAGGGATACAAAGTTTTTGCTTCACGTATTAATATATATATTATTCTTAGTAGCAAACACAGTTTATAACCAGTTTATCGTAAGTAGAGCATTAAGCACACCAGATAACTTCAAGCAGTCTTCAGTGGCCTCAGCTATAAATGCCCGGAGACCGCCTCGAGGCACGAATTCCAAGACAAACCGAAATCTTATCAAACGTCCGCCATGTTGGTCTCGTTAATAAGCAAAACTACACACAAGCCGTACTTACCTGAAGGCTGTTTGTTTAACATATTCAGAAGCGCCAAAACCAAACATCACTTCTTACTTGATATACGTAAATTTATAAGTACAGTAATATTATTCAAACTGATTGTTTTTATTCACACTTACTATGCATATACTGTCGAATATCTTCATAACTAAATTTCGTTAGAAGAATTTAAATGACAGGTCTTTTTTTAAATAAAATGACCTACTGTTTTGCGCGTTGGTGGCAAACATTTAAAATATTAATTAGATAGTAATTTTTCAAATCCTGTGACCAAGATTAGTCCAATCACTTATTTCGTCGTTAACTGTTCTTTTTGTAATGATTGTTCGCTTACCAATGGCTATTTATCATTACTAAGGATCAAACTTTTACAAAATACTTGAGCTGTGGCAAAGTGCATTGAACTCATAAATCACTTTTAATACACCATTACCTCTAATCGGATGTTGCGAATTGTGACAACTCAACTCGAATACGACACTTTGTGTAGAAAATTTCGATTAAAACAAAAGCAGGGCGAAATCTCACGGGAGCGCTTCATTTTATAGCAATTAGTTAGCTACAGGCAGTGGATTCGTCACGAGTGAATGAGTACCCCTTTCGTGAGGACATTTATAGGACACGATACGATGCGAATTTTCAATCGTTCTCTAAAGCATGTATTTATTAAATCATTTAAAATTAATATTATCCTAAATGTCCCATAAAATAATCAAGTCTATGCTATGTTTTTTTTTTGCCCTTGTAGGCAGACGAGCATACGGCCCACCTGATGGTGAGTGGTTACCGTCGCCAATGGACTTCAGCAATGCCAGGGGCAGAGCCAAGCCGCTGCCTACCGCTTAATACTTCACATTATTCGCAAAATTTTAGGGTAGGTATATGATCAACAGTAAAATTAATTGTAAATTAATTGATTCACATATCAGTTACTGTTAAATAAAATAATTAAACAGACACGATCCGAAAAAAATAGCCTGATATGAAAATCGTATAGACTAAAGCGCTCTACAAAGCACAAACTTGCTCATTTAAACGAGTTGTTGGGAATCGACGACAAAACGAGCGCTCCACAAACTTCGGACAATAAACACTGAGAGATAACCGAGACTCGAATACTGCTATTGTTACAGAGAGATCATACTTTCGCTGACTACTTACAAAATAAGACACGGACGGAAGAAGTTTCTTTGGACTCTGGTTGACAAATATGTATCAAACTAAAGAATAAATAAATAAAAAACCTATACCGTACAGAGAGAGAAGGCTAATAAAATTGGCGAAAAAAGAGATCCCGGAGTGACGTTAGTCGCTACGATTTGGATGACTTTTGTCATTCTGTCTTCGAATTAATTTACGATCACTGTATGCCCCAAGCGGTATAACATATTCGAAGAATGCTTCAGTTTGAATTAAATATTGACCTGTGCGAAAGATAAGAACATAACTATTCCTCTAGCTTTATTTTTGTCCATGAACGACATGAACCACCTATGATTGGGCCACCATGGGCCGTAAACATTATATACTTTAAATATCATTTCATACAAATTCAATAACGCTTATATTAAGAATGGAAGCAACTGTTTATTTAATAGTCATTTTAATAGTCCATTGCTTATTTAATTCGGTAGTAATAAATTTCACAAAACAACACACAAAGAAAACAAATGAGTGGAACAATAAATTGTCTCTAAAACGGTTTATTTGTTATCTAGATCGCATTAATTCGGTACCCCATCAGTACAAATCCGAAGCAAACTAGTCTTCAAACCCTCGTACTGAACCATCGAAAGTTCGTTAAAGTAATGTCACTCTATCTCGTCCAGCCCCTCTAGACAGAAACGAGACAAATATATCTTTATCTAGAGGAACAAAAGAGATAGACAGCAGCAGATAATACCCTATAATCACAGTTTTGTTTTCCAATCGCTGCTAACGATTATTGGCATGTTATTCCGGAACAATTTTGGAATTGCTTCAGTGTAGTAAAGACAAGTCGTTATCAAGTACAATAAAATGAGGATAGTGATTAATCTGCGTGATCAACGCGATTTCCTTTGCGATTTTCATCGATGTTTTTGTATTTTAAAATACATCTTCTAAATTGTTTACGTTTTTATTTTGGAACTATAATTTGGAGCCTGTCATGCTCATATAAATATATGAAGTATTCTTATTATCACACCAATCTTTTTTGTATTCTTGTGACATAATTATGAAAAGAAGAGGAAGTAAGAGGAGCAAGCAAATTAGGGAGTATGTATGCAGATAAATGCCATTTTTGAAACTCTCCACCCGCTTGCGTTATAATGTTTGTGTATCAGGCTATTGATAGGCGTGATGCAACGTCCCATTATTTTGTTAGAGTTAAATCGGGCCGTCCACATTCGTGCTAAAAACATGATCAGAGCAGTGACAGAAAGAATGCGAAAGATCCTGTCCGAAAGCAAAAAAGCTTCTAGCGAAATGAACATAGCACCCAAAAAATTGTCACGTATTTTAATATATGTGGACGAGTGACTAATAAGAATTGCACTGATAATTATTTAACCGATATGAAAACAGCTTTATGAGCAGTACGTAAAAAGGGAGATCAAAGAAAAAAAACCTTGACGAGAACATTTTATTACTGAGGAACATTTCACTAAGAAAGATAATCAAAGTATTACAATTTTCAATTAATCAGTAGATTAAAACGTAGGTGTCATCCGTAGTTTAGTCCTGGCCATAATCCGTTTGATTGAGCTGGCTTTGTCGAGAGTATTGCAGGCTCTACATGTTAAAACAATTTGTGATCCATAAGATTGGTAGAGGCGAATTCCCTTTTTCAATCGATTAGCAGTCACAACACAAGTTGAATTTTTTTTTATGAATGCCAATATTTTCAAAAGTATTCCTTTTTTTAAGTTTTTTTTTTGTTACCTACCTACCTATTCTAGTGTCCTCGAGGGGTCATACCAGATTCACCGAGCGAGTAAGTGAGCTCACGGGGCTCTAACCTGTGGACGTTGCTAACACTAGCAAGTGCAATGCTGCACAGAATCTATCACCAGATCGGAAACGCGACCCACTGTGAAAATCCGGCGAGAAACTCAGTGGGTTGTGTCTATGGGTTAGTTTACTCGCTGAACCCTTCGACGAGAACAGTGACTGGTGCTTGAAGTACCTAAAAGTACCGCTAGTGAATCGAAAGAATCCGAAATGACGTATTTAGAGCGAAGTCGGCTATTTACCATTCAGTCCGCATGATCAGATATGTAGTTACCGGCGGCCACAACGAGAGGGTCTTCGTATCGTGCCACCTTCTCAAAATGTCGCACTGATGCCCTCTGAAAATACTTACTGACGAAGTCAAGCTCCAGATCGTCATGGAGGTCCACATTCCTCATGAACCACAGTGCTCCGACGGCTCCGAATATTTTTTTTAAGTACATATATCGTGTTAATGTATAAACCAACGCACAATGCAATAATAAATATTTCATGCTATTACAAGTAACATGATCATGTTAAAAACATATTATATCAAAAAACGGAAACAAAAATGTTTTCCTAGTAATAATATTTATGTTTTGTAGCAAGATTAGTGTAAGTTAGTATCGTTCAACTATTATTCATTTAAAAATGGAATAATACTACTACACCTCCTTAATATATTTAAGTAACAACATCAGTATATAATAATTATGTTACTTAATATTTACGTCACCAGTGATGAAATTCAAGTTAACTGCTACAAAATAAAGGATGTAGATAAAATCTGCAACTCGCCGCTTTATTCGTAAAGTGGGTCTCAATTTTTATTTCTACTCGAATTGCAAATTAGCTTCGATATTCCACTGTCACCAAACTTTGATTTGTATTCACAAGACTATTAATTTGTTTATTCATCAGAACCCATTGAATAAAATTAATAGTCATCTCCGTGAGCCATAAAGAGTCCTGGGTGCATTGTACACTACATAGATAGCTGCTATAAATTATCGGGAATTATTTTACTTCATAGATTATTATTTTTTACTGGTGGTAGGACCTCTTGTGAGTCCGCACGGGTAGGAGACCACCGCCCCGCCTATTTCTGCCGTGAAGCAGTAATGCGTTTCGGTTTGAAGGGTGGGGCAGCCGTTGTGACTATACTGAGACCTTAGAACTATATCTCAAGGTGTGTGGCGCATTTACGTTGTAGATGTCTATGGGCTCCAGTAACCACTTAACACCAGGTGGGCTGTGAGCTCGTCCACACATCTAAGCAATAAAAAAAAAAATATATTCATTAGTATTTTGTAATTGAATTACAAAAAAATATATAACAATGCGGTTTATCGAATTTTCAGTTTAAAAGCCCAAATGTATTATCGATTTTATTTAAAAAGCTAAAACTTAAAAACTATATCGATTCCACCTGAATTGAAATATATTTTTAATACAAACAAAAACCACTATAAAATATATAAGTTTTGATGAAAAATGGATTTTGAATCTAAATGAAATTGCGTTACACTGTGGTAAATGCACATTTGGAACAAAGCCTGAAACCCGTAGATAAATTTGCTCTTTATTTTAAATGGATGTCGGCCTAATCCAATTTTAAAATGTTGCCCAGGCCATACATATTATAAAAAGAGACTTTGTCGGAGGCTTAACGTTTAAATTAGTTTATCCCCCTAAAGCGGAACCACAACGAAGGGTTGCAAAATTTAAATTACAAATAAAAGCACTGAAAAATATCTACGAGTGGGTAGTGGCTCAATAACGATGTCTTTAATTAAAGCGGAAAGGGTAATAAAGTGACTTTGTTCAAAAACTTAAATTCATTCTGAAAATTACCGCCAAAGACATCGGAGAGTTTGTTAATTTTGAATGAATTCACGTCGCTGTGAAGGAATTGTGAAGTCGTTGAGGTGGGAAAAACCTATTTATTACCCAGGCGATTTATTATCACATTTCTCAAATTACGTTATACATATTTATACGCCATACAAATTCTGAAAATTCGAATATAAGATTTCTTAATATTCTATCAATTTCACATAGACCCAATTCCGTTACGGTCCATCACACATTCCGTTTGCGTGTGCCATATGCAACAAATTGAAATATGCCAGATGACTGACCGTCGTATCAGTCACGTAGCAACTGCCCGAAGGAATCTTCCCTTCAAAGCACTCACTATTTGACTTTCACGCTTCACTGACTATCCGTAAATACGCAATGTAGAAATCTTTAATATTGACATATCTTGTCTGCTCATATTTGGTATAGGTAAAATGAAAAACATTTTTAGTATTTGCATAATAATTATTGCATTCTCTCATTCATATCAAACCTTACAACTCTCGCGTTTGAAAAATAAATTATTTATCTTTACCCAACACCTATCCCAAAGGTTTGCCTTCGTTGATATTTTATGATAAAATATTGTACGATAAATTAAATATACTACTGAACAGTAAAATTATAAATTAAATCTAAGGAAATTTTAAATAACCTATTAAGCTACAAAAATACACAGCTCTATAATTCTGTGAATCATTGTCGCCTATAATTATAAACTAATCTATTGATTTTACTAGCTTCCATACCACCGTCTCTGGTGGGCACATTACGTGTGTAATATGAGTCATCATAAGTAGCAGTGGCGTATCTTTGGTTGCTTGGCTTGAAATCCAATTGTAAGTAGTCGCCTTCTTCTCGACGAAGCTGTCCTTTGTCTTTTCCATCGTACCTTGGATCTTCATAAATAGTTATAGTTTGTTTTCTATGAGCAACTACCGGAGCATTTTTAGGAATCTCCGCCACCGGTGCTGCTCGACTTTCACCGTAACCATACCCATATCCATGATTTGGACCGTAACCATATCCTCCGTCATGTCGCACGCCGTAATCATCGTAATAGCCGGGTCCGCTGTAGTCTCGATTCCATCCTGGGTCACCTTGCCACCCAGGCTCGTTTCGCCAGCCATCATTTTTCCATGTAGGCTCATTGCGCCATCCTGGATCTCGCCTCCACGTTGGTTCTTCATCCCATCCTCTCTCATTTTCCCACCTCTGCGAATTATAGCCTGGATCATGGTGGTGATGATGCACCTCTGGGGCACGGTACTCGTGGTAATCACGTAGTTTTCCATTATCATAACTATTATGATCATTGCGATACTTATTATGATTCAAAGCGTCATCGAGAATATATTTTTTTCCATAATCATGGCGAAGATTTTGCTTATTACCCGTATCTCCGTAGCGGTTGTACCCGCCGCCGCGGTAATTATCGCGGACGTACTCTTGTCCATTATTGTGTGATCCCTGATAGCTCCTTCCACCCTGATTATCGTGACTATTTAATCTGCTGTTATAAGCTGCTTGATCGCCTTCGTCATTTAAGTCATCGAAGAAAGTGCTCTTATTAGACGATTCATCTTTGTGATAAGAATTTTGAAATCCTTGTTTATGGTGTCCTTTTTTGTGCCCCCTTTTGTATCCTGTCGCATGACTATCTTCCGCTTTGTCCTGCGAGCTGTTGTGGCCTTTATAAGCGTCACTATCCGTGGCAGATTTTGTATCGTGCTCCTTTTTCAAATACTTTGTTTCGTCGTTAGCTTTCGAATAGTGATTTTTGTGACTGTCGTTAATTTGACTTTCTAACTGATGCACCTTTTCGCCCTTTTGCTTATCGTGTTTAATGGACTCCGCTCCTTCATTGTGCGCTACGTCTTTCAAGTGTTCCTCTAAAGCTTCTTTTAAAACCGATGCACTACCACCGGAAATAATTAAAGCGATACATATTATTAGCGATAAATACAACTTACAACGCGGACTCATTTCATAACTCGAAATAACCTTTCATTTAACGAGATGTTGTCAGCGCGGTGATTTGACTGGTAATAGGCGGGAGATAAGTTGTGTGAACAATTTTATATTGACGTGAATCGTGTTGGATTTCATGGCGAGTTTGGGGACAAAGACAGGAATCACAGTTATGGGAACAATCGAACAGACAACGGTGCGTCCGTGACATGACATTATTGAACTAGAAGTAAATGGTGGAATGTGAGATCGAGGTCAATGAAATCCAACCAAGGTAACAAGACCAGAAGGGCACTCAAAATTTGAACTTCCATTTATTTCTATTTTTATTGCTTAGATGGGTGGACGAGCTCACAGCCCACCTGATGTTAAGTGGTTTCTGGTGCCCAGAGAAATCTACAACGTAAATGAGCCACCCACCTTGAGATATAAGTTCTAAGGTCTCAGTATAGTTACAACGGCTGCCCCTTCAAACCGAAACACATTACTGCTTCACGGTAGAAATAGACGGGGTGGTGGTACCTACCCGTGCGGATTCATAAGAGGTCCTACCACCAGTAAGTAAAGTTGCAGTATTCGAGGTCAATTTAATAAATAAACCAAGCTAATTGGATCTTAGTATGGTTTTCTTACTTTTGAAGTCGGCCTATTTGTGTGCCTATTTCAATTTAAAACACATATTATACAAATACTCAATTTTATATTTTTCTCTAGGTATATAAAGAGCTGTATTAGCCTTGGTTTATCAAATTCATCGGCTCCGGGGATTCGGGTTTGATTGCTAATGATATTTAGCATAAAATATCGTTGGTAATTATATTTAGTATAAAATATATGGTATGGTTATGCTTCTGTATTCTTGTCTCGTGTATTTCCGACACACAAAACTACAGAGAAGCCGAGTCACTTAAATGTTGAAATAATAAAATTCTCAAGTCTTTTTTTTTTCGTAAAAATGTCTCGATACGAGAATGGCTTTTTCGTTTGCTTCTCAAACAGATTCGCGTATTCACAAAGTAAATTTATACTTTATTTTCGATTAAGTTTCTAATGAGGTTCCTTCGAGGTTCACAAATGCAATTACCGACAAAAGTTAGACATGCATAGGACCCAACAATCGACAATTGTATTCGTTGTATCCACGTAAGGTAAATATGTAACTCATTTAAATCCTGCACATACATATATGTTTCTTACCGTTAGAACCATGGTCCTAAAGTTCGAAATATGTTTTATATTGGTCTAGAATCTAGAGATGACTAGATTAGCACTGCACATCTAGTGTTTAGATCCATGATGTGTGTAAGTGATTATCGAAGCCCACGAACCACAAAAACGTGAATTCGAAGTTGTGAAGACTGCATTCCTGCCACTTAACTGCACTAGAACCATTTGTGGCGATAGTAGGCCGACACCGTGGCTTATGAACATCGGCTAAACTAAAAACAAAAGGCTACAGCTACAGTTGAGGACGATCCACAAAACTTGGTGAAGAAATAATATCGCGTAATACAAATGAAACCCACAAAATTAGGTTTTAGATGTCTATGGACTCCGGTAACCACTTAACACCAGGCGGGTTGTGAGCTCATCCGTCCATTTGATTGTGATTTTTGAAAAAAAGAACTGTCACGGCACTCGGTAAGCCTTTTACCTCACAACAAGCTTATCTGTGCATTTTAGATAATAGAAAAATAGATTGTAATTCATTAACATTAGAAGAAAATGATACTGTTAGGTTACATACCTTATACTTAAGGCAATATATGGCACAGGAACTCAGTGCTCAAGTTTCAATTAGATTAAGGGCTACAAAAAGCGAAGGCATACAACAAGCACATCAGATACCTACTCAGATGTATTTGAGTTGCCTTCTATTGTCATTAGTACTAGTGGTAGTAGTATCTCTTGCGAGTCCGCACGGGTAGGTACCACCACCCTGCCTATTTCTGCCCTGAAACAGTAATGCGTTTCGGTTTCAAGGGTGGGGCAGCCGTTGTAAATATGCTGAGACCTTAGAACTTATATCTCAAGCTGGGTGGCCCATTTACGTCGTAGATGTCTATGAGCTCCAGTAACCAATTAACACCAGGTGGGATGTGAGCTTGTCCAACCATTTAAGCAATAAATAGATAAAAAATTCGGCTATCAGTTTATTAGCTATAGTCACTACGAGATGAACCAGGTCTCGTGGCAAGCGAACCTAAGTCTTTCTATCTATATCTGTATAAATTGCGTTTTTAGAATACCCAAACTGATGGTGCAGTTATTAGCGGCCCTGACTATTGCGCTAAGGGTCGCGGGTTCGATTCCCACATGGGGCAAACATTCATGTGATGAACAGATTTGTTTGCTCTTTGTGTCTGTGTTTATTATTAATATACTATGTTCCTGCTATATATGTTAAGTAATTGCCAATAAAAATGGAACCCCTTAGGCTCCCTGAGGAAATGTCGAAATCTTGATTACGCCCAAAAAAATCATATCACGTTCATAGTAATAATAGAGGAAGATATTTATCATTCCAGAAACCATTTGTAGTTTGATGTTTATATTAAACTTAGGGTTTGTCAAACGTATTTTCTATACCTGGAACAATCTTCCTTTAAATGTAACAATTAAAAAAAACAATTTAAGATTTCTTTTATTACCGAATTTACAAATAAAATATTAAGTTTCTGAAAATACTGCATTATGTACTAACCAATATTAGTAAACCCAACGTACAATTGTTTTTACTAATATTTATATTAATTATTAATATAGTAACTTGACCTTCTTAAATTAACCTATAAATTTATTTAAAAGTTGCATTAAACAATTAAAACGAAATTCAGAAACTCTTATAAATATGTTTTAAATTAGAAAGAGAATATTTAAAAAAAAACGCTTAAACCAGCTTTTTAAAGATATTAGTTAAAAAAACATTTTGTTTTACAAACTTGGTTTGTGTTGACAATCAAAAAGCGTGTACAAATATCACTTAATAAATTTTCTAATAGACATACAAAAACAAATAATTTTGACATTGTAACAACAATTTAAAAAAAGGCCTTCGAAGGATAAGAGAAATTGAAATTAAAATTGCAAAAAAAATATTTTTTCTTTATTGACCTTGTAGGCAGACGAGCACACGGCCCACCTGATGGTGAGTGGTTACCGTCGCCCATGGACTTCAGCTGCCTACCGAATTCTTCCTTCATTATGTTGCTCCATTCAATTGATTAAGATTCAAATTGTCAATACGTTTCTTTATTTCTTGAACCAGATCGTTTCTGGGCACTTCGTCCTCTTCTCTAGTTGTAATGTTTCTTATTTTGACAACGCCCCGTTTAAGTTCGGAATCGCCCAACACGACCGCTAGCGGTATTTTATTTTCTTCACAATGCTGAAGCTGGTTCAGCATCTTGGGATTCTTCTTGTACGACTGCTCGGTCTGAAAATACAGATTCGCTTATAAGTGAACTCTTTCTTGAATCTACAAAATAACAGTACAATTGATATTTGGATAATAAAGGGCGTCGCACACGGCGAAGATACTATAATATTTTATCTTAACATACAATATCGCTCACTATACATTTTGTATGAGCTATCCCACACATGGTTAAAATAATATATATTTGTTAGTTCATACAAAACGTATTGCGAGCGATATTGTTTGTTAAGATAAAATATTATAGTACCTTCGCCGTGTGTGACGCCCTTTAGTGTTTTCTGCAATATTTTTAAAATACAAAAAGTAAGAATTAACGTATTTACGTGGCCACAAAATCTGTCGTCGGTGAAAATGAGAATTATTCGAAAAAAATAAAATCGAAAGGAAATTAAATAAAATTGTGTGTATGTAGTGAAATCTTCCGAGGGGTCAAACGCAGGCTAAATTATATGGATGTAATTTTTTTTTTTTTTTTAGGGCCGTTTTTTTTTTTATCAAGTTTCAAATCACAAATTTACTAAAGTGGTCATATCAGTAAGCAAGGTTTAAATACATGATATTAACGTAACGAACAAAAACCTAAAACACCTCGTTAGATTAGAAATTACAAAATTATTAATTACGTTTATATTATAGCTACTGAAACCCGGATACGCGTCGCTGTAACTATCGCAAAAAATGTATACTCGTAAAATACAACCACATGTAAGTTGGTTGTACTATTACAAAAACCCTCCCTGAATTATCAACATATACCAAAACCAATCGAATACAACATGTGAGAATGAATAAATCACAAACATACGTTCATATCTCATGTTAAATTAGACAAAACACACTGAGCCTTATTAAAATTTGCGTAATTTATGAAAATTTTAAAGTGTCAATAAGAAAAAATCACGTTACCTTGATCCCAGCATCCCACAGTTCAGCGCATATTTTCATGCGCTCCTCTAGGAAGTTCTTTTGTGCTGACGCTACATACACGTCAATGTCGCTTGTGCGAACCGTTATGTCACCGGCGGCGAGTTTCGCTTCCAGTACCGAGAATATACGCTCAACGCCAATACTCACACCTACACATGGCACCTGTATACATAATTATTTAATTATTTTGCAATTCATACTGAGAGCTGTACTAAGAAAAAATTGATGGATTGCGTGAAAGACGATATAGGTAAAAAGGGAGTAAGCGAAGAAATGGTATATGATAGAAGAGTATGGAAGGATAAAAAATGTTGCGCCGACCCTAGGTGACTGGGAAAAGGGCAGGAGAATGATGTTGACTGAGAGCTGTTATTATTGAAATGTTTTTTTTTCGGCAGACGAGTCGTCAGTTTCTTGCAACCATTAAAAAATCATTCCAAATACTTTTGATGAGTGGACAAAATAAACAAAACGTAGTAAATTAGATTGCATAGATCTTATGCCACGAAATTACGCCAGCAATGACAGGGGCAGAGCCAGACCGCTGCCTACCGCTTAAATATTTATTCAACATTCCAAAATACCTGTTTGTTTTTTGAGTCAAACATGCCGACGAGGTTATCGTATCTTCCGCCGCCAGCGATGGATCCAACCGTTTGTTCCTCATTTCCAATTTTAATAGGTTCTAGAAGGAAATAACAATTCGTGTTAGTTAGGCGTTAAGGGTAATTACAATCAATCTAATTGTCGGTATTATATAATTAATATCGTGCTTCAACGATCAAATTAACATTTTTGCTAAAGCATAATCATTAATGTTACCATTTTAATTGAAGTGTAAATTTCTTATTTCATACGATAAAGGGGCTGTAGTAAACGTGATAATAATTAATGAAGATTTGTTAAAATTCGACAGCACCGGCATTTGTGCTAAAAATATACGACAACGCGGAGCTCTGCGCAGATAGGCCCATAGTTGAAGAACAGGATTCATTCAGGGGGGGAGGAGTCGCGGGGAGATTTCGATTTGCAGAGCGGCAATTTTTTTTTACTTCCTAAACTGATGGTCTTGAGAGACCATATCAGCGTCACAGGGCGAGTAAGTGAGCTCACGGAGCTAAAACCTGACGTTAAATAACTCAAAATAGTTTTTTTTTTCAAAAATCTAATCGTCCGGAGGCCCGTAAAAGCCGGTGCAATAGCTAAAGATCCTACCGATCGGATATAACGATCTCGACGCGAGGTTTTAACTTTTGTTAAAAGATTTTGTTCCTTCATTGCAAAGTCATTCGTGAACATGTGTTAATTATTTAAAAAATCCCGTCCTAAGGATTTAAACATAGGCATAGTTGCATTGTTTGATATTAGCACAACAAGCGCCTTAGCCTTTAGCCCACAACAGCTTCAAACTCATGTAGCAGTTACCCCACCTCTGTTACAATGTCTCATTTTTTCAAAATTAGTAATATAATTCAATTATTATTTCTGAGTTCTGGAGCTAAATTGGCCAAATCACGGTTTTCTATGAAATGAGTTTGTACTACTAATTTATTAAAAAAAGGTTAATATGCCATTCATTTATCAACTTATCTTTAAAAAGTTATTACATAAAAAGGCCAATGTAATGCAGACTTTCTTAATGTTTAGTTATTGATGGGTTATTGTGGCTTAAGACTAAACGTAATTATTATTGTGCGGCTTTATTAGCACCACCATTACAATTTTAATTCAAAAAACAAGAAAAGTAGTATTTGATTTCAATCAAAACATTTTCATTATGAATTAAACTTACGTGTAAGCACTGCTTCATAGATAACACCAGTGTAATAATCTAATCCTCTGGCAAGACTCAAATCAAACAGAATCTTATCCTTAATGCCAAAGAGTTCACAATACTGTAGCAAAGTTTTGATTGCTTCTACACCTTCTAATGCAGCCTTTACTTTAGATAATTTCTCATCTTTCAATAGTTTCTCTACCAGTTCGGTGCTACCGTTTAAGCGTACATACTCTCCTATTCTGTCTGCTGCATCAGGTGACACACCTTTTTCATTAATCATTTCGGTTCTTACTTCCTCCCATGGTGACTAAAATGAATAAATTGACATTAATACCCAAAAATGCATGCACTTTTTTAAGGTTTTAAGTTTTATTGTTTAGTTGCAAAAAATGAGCTTACAACCCACTTAGCTTAGTCTACAGAATATTATCACTGCATTCAAACTTGAGACTGTCACAATATATCAATTACATTGGAATTACAGGCATTACCACTACCACTATTATACCACCACATTATACCACTTTTGGATTATAATAGATGATTATCTTTTAGCCTGAGGGCCTACAATCTGTAAATCCTTATTGACTTACAATTTTAGTTATAGCAGACTGATTTTAAAATAATGTTATGCGGGTAAGAGTAACGCCATCTGTCATCAAATAGCAGAAACAAATATATAACGAACTAGTAATATCGAGAACACTGGGGAAGTGCAACGTCATTTTTTATCAAATAGCCAAAACACTTATCAAAACGACTAGTTCTATCGGGAATATTCTTGATAAATGTAGACTTGTCGTGTCGACTATAAAACTGTTGCAGAAATGACATTAAAGCAGTTAGTAGTCCTAGCGCTTTACAATAAGTTTTGTTTTGTTTTATATGAATCTAGACTCTTACTGTACTATGCATGATATGCAGGTATGGTTTATTTATTATTTGTACCTTTTAATGCTTTACCTTATCTAGTTTATCAACTGTGGAGCATGTGGTCCTAAACTTATCTGCGGGAACTCCACAAGCTTCAAACATTCCATCAAGTAATCTTCTGTGGTTCACTTTGAGGATATATTGTCCTATGTCAAGAGCCTCTAGGATCTCTGTCACTACCTTCAAGCATTCTGCATCAGGTACCATAGGATCATATACACCAGCTATGTCAAAGTCCTAAAAAATAAACGTAAATTGTATTGTTGATAAAGTATTCTGGTAAAATATTTTAGTAGTCGAAAATCATTGTCCACAACCTTAACGAACTGATTAATTTTCTGGCTTCTTGGGGAAATCGGAATAAAAATTTCAACTTTAAGACAAGAGACAACTTTTTTGTCAAGTTTCAAAGTACCATACATATTTTAACATCCAAAAACCACCACACCACGGAATTAAATTAAAGAAAAAAGTATTTTTTAAAACCTAATTATATGTATTTGCAATCATTTAATATATTTTGTACACACAGCTGTTAGAAGAAACACAACAATAAGGATACAGAGTACAAGGGCACTACTTTATTATTATTATGCAATTGGTTTTCAAAAAACTCATAAATTACACTGTTTTATTTCTTTTTTTCCAAGTAAGAAAAATAATCCGTGCTCAAGGATGAAAATATATTTGAAATCTTTTTTTTTTGTAATTTTAAATTGTGTTCATTGCTTTCTTTTTTTATTTAAAATAAATTTAAATTATTCAAACTTTATCTCTTTTTTAATTTATAATTTAAACAAGCATGAATGAGTTTTTTAGGACCATAGTTTAATAAATCAAATAATTTTATTTTATACTTACGCATTGATAAAATTCCCTGTATCTTCCTCTAGTCATGGCAGGATTGTCTCTTCTGTACACCTTAGCTATATGATATCTCTTTAAAGTAGTTATTTTATTCATTGCTAAATACCGAGCCAAAGGTACAGTCAAATCATATCTTAATGAAAGAATTTCCCCACCTTGGTCTTTCAAATCATAGATTAATTTTGAATCCTCACCATACTTCCCAGTAAGCACATCCTAAAAAAATGATTTAAAAGATTTGAACTAAAATTAAATTAAAGCAATTCAAAAATGGCTTTACTTTTCATTAGTAACATTTTGATATTATTTGTCTATTTATCTATTATTTAAGAACATGCAGTTGTGGCAGACAGGGTAAACAGATATATGTTTATAAGCATTGGTAATGCCTGTAGTACAATGGTAAATTAAAAAAAAATAGCAATTCAGTCAGGCTATATCAGCAGTCCTTAAAATATTGATTAAATAAATTAAGGTTCTTAATAACTCATATTCTATTCTTCATTTTAATCCTTAATAAATTAAGGTTCTTTGATTTCATAAATTTTGGAAAACCTCACTCAAATTAACCATTCTCTGTACCTGAATTGACCAATAATAAAATGATTTCATAGATAGTATGTAATAAGTAGTATGTAAGATAGTATGATAGTATAATTTTAATAAAAAGTTATGTCCATTTAAGTTTGAAAAACACATTTTATTCCATTTGGATCAATTAAACTATCTCAAACTAAAACAATTATTAGAATTAAGCTTGTCTTTCAACTAAAAATAAATGATTTATAGTTAATTATTAATGATTTGTAATGTAAAAAACTATTTTCAATTACTTTTACTTTAATTACCTTTAGCTCAAAAACAGGTGTATCAATACACTCAGCTCCGTGTCTCCTAAAAACTGTAATAATTTTATCCAATACATTATTACGTATTGTCATTTGCTGTGGGTTGTAGTCTCTTGTTCCCTTTGGTGTTTTAAGAGTAAACTTTTGTGGGCCTGCATCTTCTGTTACAAGTTGAGCCTTTAAAGCCAACAACTTTGATACTTCTTCTTTAACCTAAAAAAGTTTTTTTTTTTAAATTACTATAATAATTTTTTCTGTGATATAAAACTGGATATTGGTCATGAAAAGAAACTAATTACTAACAATACAATAAAATCTTACTTATTGATTTACATTTAAAAAAATATTTTTTTAAGCCAAGTTAACAATAATCTAGCAAAGTTAATAAGTATAACCTAAGTTTCCTATAAATTTAGCAACTCAAAGAGCATCAAGCACTTTCCAATACCTTGCGACAAGATGATGTTGTAACATTTTTTGTCAGACAGTTTCTCTGAACTGCATTGCATAATAGTCTTGCCATTACATGGGTTTTAAAAAATGTAAGTAATTTGTGTGACATGCTTCAATAATATCCCTTTACTTAACACCACAATGATATTTTCATCACCAGACTTTTTTAGTACTTATAACCGGAAACAAAACATAAAAACTGAAGAATTCAATTAAATTACACAAAAGATGAATATTTTGTTATTTTGATGATGAAATTACCATATGAGGAGTTTACAAGTTGATGTACATACATACAAGTACAACAGTCAAACAAGAGTGATTTAATTTAGTCCTCTAATATTTAACTCATAAACAAAATTATATCGTTAATTGTGCACAAAATTACTTTTGCTTACACTGTTCATACAAACAGCTAAGGTGCAACTATTTCAGAATCAACATTGATTTCTCACAAACCTGACTTTCTAATATTTTTTTACTATTATATTTTAAAAAGTTGGGTTGCCGGAAATCCGGAAAAAGTGACACTTCAGTGTCACTGAAACTCCGCATATGGTTCCACCACCTCTTGATATATTTGTAGTTGGAAAAATCTAAGCTTTTTAAGGCTTTAGCTACGTCCACATCAGGTTTGGATGGTACATAGCCACAAATATAGCTGTAGTGACTTAAATGCTTGTCAATTTCTTCAAAATTGTATACTTCTTTAAAGCCCTTTCCCTAGAAAATTTTATTTTCTGTTAGGGAAAGGATGGCTGATGTAACATTACAATAAGTACGTGTAAAGATTGAGACCTTAATGTGGCACGTACCCTCTCATTGGACTCCTTCGCTGCTTTTAATTTTCTAACAAGATCACCCTGTTCTTGAATTTTCAATAATAAATCTTCCTGAGAAGCTGCCATTATGATTTAAATCTAAATGTTTAAATAAAATTCACTATACTTTCAAGGTTAAAGCGCGCAAGTGCAGTAGTTAGATAGCAAATTGCAGGTCAATTATTTCAGCTTGGTTACTTTCATTTTTTGTTTTAACACCAACCATAACCAATAAATTTTATAGGTTATATTTCGTTTCAGCAAGATTTTTATGTATTGACACTTGACATTGGGATTATGTATTTTACTTTTTGACATTGCTATGGCTTTTTGGCGGGAACCCATTACGGTGGTCTAATTACGATTTGATGATACTACCCTCCAGTGTACCTACGGTGTCAACCAGAGTCAAATCGAGGTGCTTCTTCGGCGGCTGGAGACCACAGCGTTGGATTTTGGACTTGCGATCAATCGTGATAAGACCAAAATGATGATCGTAGATCGTGCTAACATCAACCCAGAAGTCCAACATATAGCGGGATGCACGGAAGATGAGATCCGAAGACATTGCACCGTGACAAGATCCTCAGTTGAGAGGCTAACAAAAATTTGGAGAGGCCGCAGAATAAGCAAAAACACAAAAGTTCGATTAATGAGATGCCTGATCTTTCCAATCTTTCTGTATGGGGCTGAGAGGTGGACGCTGAGGATGCAAGACCGCCGTGGTGTTGGAGATGTCTCCTCATAATTCCGTGGACTGCGCACCATACCAAAATTTCGATCCTGAAAGAGCTCAACATTAAGGAGAGACTATCGTCAACAGTCCAATACAAATCCTCAAGTTCTTCGGGCACATCACTCGTAATGATGACTCCATTGAGCAGTTGGTGGTGCAATGGAAAGTCGAGAGCAAAAGACCTCGCGCTCGATCTCCGACACGATGGACCGACTTTATAAAATCTGTGACTGACTTCAATATAAATGATTGCCTCATTCTGCGAAACACCGTGCCACATGGCGTCGCATCGCGAGAACATCGGTATCGCAGGATCCGACTGATGCATGACCACGACCACTCTGACAAGATGCTACGACTAGGAAGAAGAAGAAGAAGAATTCACTATTTAGCATTTGTGAAAACACAAAAGTGCATGAAAATGCAAATGCAGAAACATACAATTGAAAGCCGCTGATCATGGCTTCGTAGTTTCTTTCAATATAGCTACTTAAAAAGTCTCAGTAAATAAGCACCATTTTACTGAGACTATTTTATCCCATTTAAATTTTAATTAAAGTCCCAAGTTTATCAAATTCATGTTATTTCGCTTCATATCATGTTTCAGAATAATTAATTACATATTTATTTAAAAATGGAAGATTTTATTGTGGTCGCCAAAAGTCAAAAGCCAATGGCCATACTTAAGAAAAGAAGAAGGAAACATTACCAAGCCCAAGGAAGCAAAAAACTAGAACTATTAAGTCTTTTTATTCATAGCAATATTATATTAGCAAAAAATTAGAACTATTAAGTCTTTTTATTCATAGCAATATTATATTACCCATGAAAATGCGCTTATACAAAAGAAATAAAGAAGAAAATGATCTGTTTAGTATCAGTCTGTTAAAGTACACAAATGAAAATGAAAAAGCCTCTGAACGTAACTTCTCGGGATCCTTCAAAAAGTCTACAGAAAAAGTCTCAGTAAATGACCACCATTTTACTGAGATATATATTTCATCCCATGTCATCTCATCTCATTTCATTTAATTTCATCCCAGTTGATTAATGTCTCAAATTAATCATCTTCATTTCATTTCATTTCGCTTCATATTATATTAGCATTTTTCATAAAAATAAGAGTATAAACTAAAATAAGACATGACCTAAATGTCTTAGTTACCAGGTCATAAAATCCATTAAAGAAAAAAAATCTTTGGTTTATAAATTTTGCATAGATTATACACTTAAAAATTTTGTTTATTATTTCATCAGTGTAATAAATTTAATTTTATCAATCAATAATTTAATCTAATGGACAGATTTGAGTATATCGAGGCAAGATTATTCGATGGAGAAAACTATTTAAAACGAGACAAAAATGTTAAAATTTACGATGGCGACGATAAGGTGATATTTTTAAAACTAAATTTGAAAATAGACTGAAAAACGTTTTAATCAATTGTTTTCGTTTTTAGACCCAGTTCATTGATGGTGAAGTTCTATTAACAACACATAGACTTTTATGGGGAAAACCAGGAGATATACCAAAAGGCTTAGTTTGTTTATCTCTCCATCTGTATTATGTGTTTTGTTTAGAAGAAGAAAGTGGTGGCGTATTTGGTCTTGGGGGTCCAAAAAGGATAATAATGCATTTAGGTCCTGCACTTCCAGGTAAAATAATAAAAATATTTTAAAGCTATCAATTAAATAAAAAATTGAGCTAGACTTATACTAATGAAAAATGACTAATGAACTTACCACTTGATATGAAGGTGCTGCCTGGGCTCATGGTTTCTACTGTGCAAATTTTGCTGCTTACCTTGAGACATGGCTTAAAAGCTCAGTACCATTGAAATCGTAAGCATTATTTCTTTTTAAATTGAATTCATAATAGATATAAACTTGTCTCAAGGCAATCTGTATTTAAGATTATAGGGTAATGACTAAAGGTTTGTATAACTTTCTAGGAGCAGATGCCAGAAGCCATGGCCCACCATGACCACATGTTTTAAGTGGTCACCGGAGCCTATATAAAAGTTAAGACAGCTAAATAATTAGCCTAAATCAGATCTCATCAAAACCTATTAGAACTGAATATGCACACACTTCCAAACCACTCAACATTTGCTTTCAAATATGTATCTACATATATTTGTGATTGTTCAATAAACCAATTTGATTATATGTGGCATTGAATTGCAAGACATTTTAAATAGTTTAGTGTCTAATGAAATACTAACTTGAAAGGTGATCTTAACATCTTCAAAAGTGTTTGTAGTGTAATGAATAAGTCAGATATAAATATAGTCGTGCAGGTATTCATTCAAATTCTGTATTAAAATTAGGCAAGTACCTTATTTTTTTAAATAAATACATTAAAATTTGTAACATGTGTTTACAAACATCGGCATTTATTAAAATTAAATATACATAAAATTTGTCATATTTTGATCAACCTCTATATTTCTACCAGAAAGGAAACACATGTTGCAGTTAGAATGGTGAGACAGCTCTTATGCAATACAATTCATTCTTCTGTATCAAATCTTGAAGTATTTTCTATTATGAAATAACTAAATAATTAAAATATATCCTTTGGTAAATAATCCTTAATCTTTCTTGAATCAATAAGTATTCTTAGTTATAAGTATTCTAATTTTTAAGTATTCTTAAGTTAATGAGACAGGTTTGTTATGTCTGGCCTAGGTATTTAAAATTTGAAACCATTTTGTGTAATACTTAGTATTAACTTTATAATTTAAGGGAAAAGGCCTGGTCCAGCAGTAGTGAGCCCATTTCACTATGTGAAACTATCATTCAAAGATGGAGTAGATACTGCTTTTTACAAAGCTTTAAGTGACGCTGTTGCTGCCAAAGCGTGGGAAAGACAAACTCCAATTAACACTCCGAGAACAGCTACAAGCCCAACAACGGCTTCAAGACCCACAGTCACAGCCGTAAACTCTAAGATTAGGTCAGGCATTGTGGGAATTGAAAGAAGTATAGAAGAACAGCATAGAGCCACAGATCAGAGTATAAGTGTGGCATTTCAAGACCTCACTAAGTTAATGGAGAAGGCAAAAGAAATGGTATCTTTATCAAAGAATATTTCTACAAAAATAAGGGTATGTAAACAGTATAATAATAATAATAATTTAATTTTATCCACATTAATTATTTTTTTAGAATACTTGGTAATATAAGAAAAAAAAGTCTCATAATATGTAAACAATTACTAATTGTAAAGTATAAACATATGGACACAAACTAGTACTGTTAATCTAGCAAATGATAATTTCAGGAAAAACAAGGTGATATTTCAGAAGATGATACAGTTAGATTCAAATCCTACCTCATGAGCTTAGGTATAGATGATCCAGTAACTAGGGATGCATTCAGATCAGACTCTGAATACTATTTGGGTCTTGCACAACAAGTATCAGATATGATGGTTGCTGTGTTATTGGTAAGCTATATTAATGTTTTGTCTATTAAAAATAGTTTACTGCATTTAATTAGCCAATGCACTTAGGACTTACCTGGAGTTCAATAGTTTTCTGAGTCACCATTCTTGAGACAAGGTGTGTCTCAACAATGCTATTGCAGATACTATTACGTGTCATACACATATACGAAGGATCGAATGAGCTTAAGAACTTTTTTAAGTGGTGTCCATATAAAATGCAGTAAATGTAGTTAAAAAATATCACTCTAATATAATAGATGAATTATCTATGAAATTTTACAATACTGGCCATTTGAAGCTTAATTTATGTATGACTGGCAATAAAATCTAACGCTTAACCTCATATGGGACAACTGACTTTCTCTATGCTACAGGAGCTAAAGTTTGAAGTTCTACGTCATCCATCGTATTCACTAGACCTCTGTAGACAGACTTGCTTTTCCAATGTTTGACAACTTCTTGGCAAGGAAAATATTCAATACCCAGGAGGCAGTACAAAATGTCTTTGCTGAGTGTGTTCACTTCTTCAAGATGAGCCTTTAAATATTGCCACAGTTTTGGAATAGATTGATACTATGAGTTCATATTTTAATAGATAGAAAGTTAAGACTTATAATCTATATATATAAAAATGAATTGCTGTTCGTTAGTCACGCTAAAACTCGAGAATGGCTGAACCGATTTGTTAATTTTTATTAAAAGATAATTACTTTTAGGAGTGTGGTGGAATAATGTCCTTAGCTGATGTATGGTGTAGAGTAAACCGAGCCAGGGGCTTAGAGCTTGTATCGCCAGAAGACTTATTGAATGCTTGCAAGTATGTATTCAATTTTATATTTCCCAAGAATGATGTTAAAAGAGTAAATTATGAATTCAGATAATCAATAATATGGCTTTATTTTTTAGATTACTACGAACTGTAGACGCTCCCATGTCACTCCGAAAATTCCCTAGTGGAGCTTGTGTCTTACAGCTGAATACCAACAGGGATGAAGAGATTGCTAAATCTACAAGTGATATGGTAAATGTCATTTTAAATTATCAAATATTTCTGCATAATTACATTAAAGTGATATGGTCCCATATCCATAATTCTAACATATTACATTGTAATTGTTTTTAATGCTTTGCTAAATAGCTTTTGCGAGAAAATTACGATACCAAAAGAAAAAACAGATGACTATGCACAAAATATTGTTTATAAATAGATCCAACCTTATGATTAAATGATGACGAAACGTGTGTATGGACTATTGTCCGGCTGCTGAATGAATGTGTTTCGATTACTTTCGATCATATGGACGAATATAATAGCAGTAATTTACAATAGAAAACTATTGTCTATTTGTTATTAATGATTAACACCACTCTGAATCATTAAGTTACCTTAAGATTCTATACTAGGCTCCTATCTTTTTTTTCTACATAATCACTAATAAGTACTCTACGAAGTTATTCCAACTACGTACAGGTAGGTGAGCTCATGGGCGCAACCTGAGAGAATTTGCTAACACTAGCCGGCAAGAGCAGTGCTTCGCAGAATCTACCATCGGGTCGAAATCGCGATCCACTGAAAAGATCGAGCGAAAAACTTCGTCGAGCGAAGAACAGAAATAAATAGGTTTCTAATATGACTTTTTTGTTCATAGATACAAGAGAATGGATACCTCACACCAGAGAAGCTATCGCAAATCGCAAATGTATCAGTCTTGTTGGCGAGAGAGAGACTATTTACTACGGAAAGACTTGGCTTGGCGTGCCGTGACGAGTCAATTGAAGGCTTGGCTTTTTACCCCAACAGATTTTTGCTAGAGGCCTAATAAATATTTTGTAAATTTCTTGTTAGCTGATGTTACATATTAAAGATTATTTTTTACTAGTGTTTTCTTACAGATAGCGCTTGACTATTCTTGTTCCGTTTACGTGTAGCTGGCGCTAAACTACAGTGAAAACATCATTTTGGCTCTTAATTCATAAACAAAATAGTATGCCTAGTGCGAAATTCTTAACGTTCTCGATAGCGTAAAAGTTAGTCCAATTTTGTATGCAGTTGGAACAGCGCCCCTAGGGGCAAACGTAGGCCAACGATCCCATTCCATACAAATATGAGCTAACTTGTACGTTATCGAGAAATTTAAAAACCTCGCACTAAGAACACAGGTAGCACAAAAAACCCACAACAGTAATAAAGTCATGAAACTTAACATTAGACTTAAAATTATTAATAATATTTTATGTCTATAAATATAAGTATAGAATAATATCGCTTGACGAAAGGATCACAAATGGTCGTCGATTGGCTGCTCAAATATTTCAGCCGCTGAAGCCAGGCTACCCAGTGCACGCAGAGCCAGGGTAATCTATTTACTACTTTTTTAAGTATTTACTAGTAGTAACTATTTACTCACTTATTTGCCTACTAATCTGCCAGTAGCTTCGATAGCTAGTCTGGCTTCTGACTTGACTAATGGTGAGTTCACGAGGCTCAGCCTGAAGGAATGTCCTAACATCTGCTCTAGCAAGAGCAGTGCTTCGCTATATCTACTACCGCAATCGTAATTCAGTAAGTAATCTCTGAGAAACTCAGTGGGTACCTACCACGACTTCGAATTCTCCTTCTTTTCTGCTCTGTGGCGCGGACGCCGCTCGGTATCTGGACTGTGTATGCTTCTATACTGAGGCCAAGTCCATTCAGTCACTGGTCAGCAGCATTTATTTTTATTAAAAGAAAATAGCCGAAGTTGCGCTATCGCGTCAAGGGACGACGGCGGTTTATTTTATAGTTGCCCCATTAAAGTATCTTATAAAGAAACAGGCGGAGATAAGTTAGAGCATTCCGTATATCCTTCCGCAGGCCTATCAATAAATAAGATTTTTTTACTGGCGATAGGACGTATTGGGAGTTCTCACGGGTTGGTACCACTACCCTGCCTATTCCTGCCGTGAAGCATTAATGCGTTTCGGTTTGAAGGGTGGGGCAAAACTGAGACCTTAGAACTCGTCTCTCAAGGTGGGTGACAAAATTTAGATACCTTGTAGATGTCTTTGGGCTCCGGTGACCACTTAACTTCAGGTGGCCCGTGAGCTCGTCCACCCACCTAAGAATTAGAAAAGACACTAATAACTTAAGTAGACACTTATAAACCTATTATATGGGAATCGGTGCCATAGATATTGATGCCGTCGTGACCTAAAAGGATAAAGGATAGGGGTCATTATTGTAAATCAGCCTTTTTTTGTTTATTTAACATTATTAGTAAGTCAGCGTGGCCTAAAAGATAAGACGCCCAGTGCATTCCTATCTAGCGATACGACAGTGCCGGTGTTCAAATTCCGCAGGCAGATACCTACCAATTTTTCCCCAAAGATACCTACTTAGACTAGACTTAACAAGTCTTCACGAAAGACTTCCACGTAGGAATACGCGAAGGAATGACATCGCGTAATAAAAATCAAAACCTGCAAAATATTTAAAATAATTTGTAATTACTGCTGGCAGGGCGACTTAAGAGTCAGCAGGGGCACGGTTTGAAGGGTGGGGCGGCCGTTGTATTATAAAATTGAGATGTAGAACTTTTGGTTGTAAAAATTAATTAAATCGTTATACCACTAATTCTTCTAAAACTTGGTTCCGACACGTGAGAAACTATTCTGACTAGGATATTATTTGGATATAGATATGTTATAGTATAAGAAGGTATCATACGGGTTTTGCATTTTTTTAAATAAAAGGCTTATTACACTTGGCTAAATTTAGTCGACTGAATTCAGTGAAGTGTAATAGCATTAAGTAAGTTAGCCTACTAATTCAGTAGCAAGGATGGTTTCTGACTGACTAAATCATTTAGAAGCCTAATTAGAAACGCATTTAGTTACTTAATGGTTTCAGGTTTCAGTCGCCCCATAGCTCTCTGTGCGTAAGGACGTTTTAGTTTGTTTTTTACATCCGAATAAAAAGTATTAATTTCGGTTACCCTTATTTAATGTGCCATACATTTGTAAATAGCCCGACATGTTTCAGGGATAATTTTTGTCATCAAGGGTTGAGATATGGAAGAACTAAATTTTAAATCTTGATACGACTTTCCTGTTGCAAGAAATCTTAATGTTACAATCATCTTTCTTTTGGATTTATACTATCGTAGGATTAGATATGTAATATTTATATAATAGAATATCGTAGGATAGTATCCTGCATTTGAATAAACGGCGTCACAAGGTTTAATATTAGGTCAAACGAGCTCGAATACATTTATAGATCAGTTCTGAAGTCTGCTGGTTCTAAATCACTCATAATATATTTGCTATTTCTCATATCACTCATATTTGCTATTTTTCCGCGGAGCAATAAATACTTCTTCACCCATATTCTGCTTTTTTTTTCAATTGAGCCGACAGCGACGGCTACGCCAAGACCAATTTTTGTTGTCTAGACAATATTGGAGCCATCATCGTACCCACACGACACGTCCAACTTCGTCGCGCTTAAACTGACAATTGATTCAGTAACTGACTTTAGAACAGTGTAGCCAGAAGCTTCTAAATTTGCTTCTGGATTCAGTCGACTAAATTTAGCCAAGTGTAATAAGCCTTTAAGCTACGGAATATTTTACTAAAATCAAGGAACCTTATTTTACACCTTGAGTAAGTCGCATTTGTATGGCAGAACTACTTCTGTTAGGATGAATAGCTATAAAACCACTATTCAAACAAAGGGAAATAATAGTACAATTCAAGCACAAATATGATTTACTTAGCAAATATTCTTTCACATAGCTTGTCATAGCAAATCTACACCAGACTACAAACACTACAATGACATTACCTAAATAAAAATTATGTAAACAATCTCACAAAATATTCTCACACTTATGAATTCCTTTCACTTACAAAATATGAAATAACACAAAAGTCTATAAATATGTTTGTCTGATTTACACAATAAAATGTAGCATCAATCGATTTGTATGTTATGTGAAAAAGCTATAATTTAGTGATCACAGATACATTGAAAGAAGCTATACTTTGTGCCATTTAATGCTTTCAAATAATTTTCAACGAAAAATAAAGCATTTTACTGAGTACTAACTTCTATATTATTGCACATCACTTATTGCCTAGTTTAAATGGACATTTTGTAATACTGTATGTCATATCAAATTCAAAAGCCAAATCCCACAAGTTTTCNAAAAGCTATAATTTAGTGATCACAGATACATTGAAAGAAGCTATACTTTGTGCCATTTAATGCTTTCAAATAATTTTCAACGAAAAATAAAGCATTTTACTGAGTACTAACTTCTATATTATTGCACATCACTTATTGCCTAGTTTAAATGGACATTTTGTAATACTGTATGTCATATCAAATTCAAAAGCCAAATCCCACAAGTTTTCATTTTGGAGAGCAAAAACATCAAATCTAACATTAGTGGAATGTTATTTCTTAATAGTCAATAGCGTTTCTAAACTCCTTTGGTATTTGATTTAATTTTCCACATAGTTCCCAGGCTTTAAAATCGTCTGAAGAACGAATGTTTTCAATATAGCATTCAACACCTCTGTAAAACGGTAACTGCATTTCTTCATTAATAACTTCAGACAGATGGTGTAAAAATGCAATATTCCTTGCCAGACTATCCTTGATCTTCACTGAAAGTGGCCTTTCTGTACTTTGAACAATATCAAGCTAAAATATAACACAAATATACATTAGCAATCCTGATAAATCATTGTAGGAAATAGTAGAGCGAAAAATTAATACTTTTTAACAAAAACCAGTTTAGTTTAAAGCAAATAACAAACAACAACAACTTTATGAAAAAATATATGATATTACACACCATACTATCTGAAAATATGTACCTATATCATACAATAAATTACCCAAGCCTGCTTGTTACCTTGCTGTATTTAACCTGTAAGTGCAATCCAGTCAAGTGGCATTTAAAAAGAGTGTTGGATTTTTAATGCTAGTCTCATATCAAACTATATGCAGATACAGCAGTTAACAGATTGAAAAAAGTGATATTTTTTTCTTTCAATAATGTACATTATTGTGATGCATAAAAAGCAAAGAACCATTAAAGACACAAGTAATGTACAAACAAATACTAAAATGCATTATTTTTAATCCATTCTCTAGTAAGTTTAACAGTGCCGAGGCAAGCAACTAACAGATCTTTTCAGTAAAGACAGCAGAAATGGTTTAATATGACTTCTAATGTTAGGTTTAAATAATAAATTATAGGTTTTGATAATAAGGTCCATTGTGGAAATAAATTGGTGAATTTACTTAGATTATAATAATGTACCTTTTCGTCAATGGTGTTTTGTTGTAGACCCAGGTAATTGGTCAAACATTCTCCCAGAGATCTCACTTTGTTTGGTAAAGTGACCTTCTTATTCTTAGTGATTATTAAATCACCAACCTTTAAAATAAAATCATTAAGAATTTAAATTTTTATTATTGGTTTTAAAGTGTATGCCAGTTCACAATCCTCTTGGTACTTAGAGCTTACTGCCATTAATTAACCTATTAATATTGGTCTATAATGCAACATCTCACTATTAGAGAAGCTTTTATGGTATCTAGGTGGCATTTATGTTGTAGATGTCTATGGGCTCTGATAACTACAAAACATCAGGTAGGCTGTGAGATAGTCCATCCACCTACTCTACAAAATAAAAAAAAACAGTTAGCTCAGCTTCATTAAATAGCACCTAGAATAGAATAGAATCTTAAGCTGGAATTTTAAATTGTAGTCCCAAACTGCTTCACAGCAAAAACAGGCACATTAGGGGTACTGACCCATGTCAGCTTAAAAAATATCTACACCATATAGAAAATACTGAAATTAAAATATTTAGCAAGTTTTTTACTACATGATCTTTTTAAAAATTGTGAACGTGTTATATTTGGGAGATTACAATTTTAACAGATTGGTATTTGCAGTACAATAGCACAACAAGAATACAAGGTTAAGCTACTTTTTTTTTTATATTTACCTGAGTATCAAAAACTGATTTCAGCTTAACATTGTGTTTATGATATAGACAATCAGACAATTTTCTACAATCATGTGCAATCTTTTTTGGAGAATCACCATCCAAAATTTTTTTTAAGCCTGATTCAAATGCATGATATTGCATCACCTGGATGTCAAAGATATAGATCTGGTGGTCAGTGGACAAAACAAGAAATGGCATCTTGCATTTTCTCCCCATATTTGCACCATCACCGCTAACAGCAATAAAATCTTGCTGGTTCAAATCATCCACAGCTTCATGGAAACTTTTATCAACTTGGTTTATGAAAATGTATTTTTTTGATATTTTGAGGATTTCTTCATATTTCGTTTGCGATATTTTGAGAACTTTCTTTTCAGTAGACTCCTGGAGTTTCACCACTTCTCTTATTTCAGAATCATAGTAATGAAGGACTCCATCATTAGCATCACCATGTGGAATTTCCTTGACATCATATAGTGATATTTTGGTCTTATCTTGGGCCATACTATAGAATCTACCTTCAAAGACGTCGTAGTTTTTTGTGTGAACTTGTAACAGTTCTCCTTTTGTGTAGAGGTTGTCCATTTTGAGTGTGATATGAAACAGTAGTGATAATGGTTTTAATCTTTTTTAACCGGTTTAGGGTCTTTTTCGGTTTCGCTGTATGCCTTGAAAATANTCATATAGTGATATTTTGGTCTTATCTTGGGCCATACTATAGAATCTACCTTCAAAGACGTCGTAGTTTTTTGTGTGAACTTGTAACAGTTCTCCTTTTGTGTAGAGGTTGTCCATTTTGAGTGTGATATGAAACAGTAGTGATAATGGTTTTAATCTTTTTTAACCGGTTTAGGGTCTTTTTCGGTTTCGCTGTATGCCTTGAAAATATATAGCCCGAGAGCAACGTGCAGTACAACGACAGCAACGACAGCGGAGTAGACACTGCTATTTATGGGGTCCAGTCGGAGCACACCATCAAATAAGATACTCTTTGCCACGAAGAAGGAAAGTACTGGCACGATTATAATTACCATGCAGTATTTTATTACCGTTCGAAACACCTGAAAATCTGGCAGCTCCTAAAATCGAAATAATTTTCGGCTAAAAATGACTATATGAGTATAGAATTAATTGAGCTTTTAATCACTGTTATTTAAGATACTTACATTTGCGCGCCCCTCGATCATTATAAAACAAAAATGAAACTGAAATAAAGATTACAATTCTCAAAATTTGCGATTTGCCGTCTCAATTTCTTTTTCGATTTCTTGATCGGTCATCGGCTAACTCTTATTTTTATCCACAGACAATTTTTTTTCTATGGTCTGGAAATTCTTATTTTAGCCATTTTTGTATTTACCATCACATAATTAGGTATTCCAAAATTAATTTAATGGAAATGAAAAAGCGAAATAAGATTAGAAATAAGCTGCCATTTCAAATTTATTAAACATTTAAATCTACAACAAATAATAAAATGAAACAATGTACACAGTGTCTTTTTACGGTGCAGTAAAAAGTCCCATCAAAGTTAATACAACATCTAGTGTGAGTTGCATTTTTCTTTAGTTCAAAATGTAGTATCTTATCCTTAAATATTATGGTCATAACATGGGCAGAAAACCATTTTTTTATTGCTTAGATGGTTTGGACGAGCTCAGAGCCCACCTGTTGTTAAGTGGTTACTGGAGCCCATAGACATTTGTCAATCTACATGTTATTTGAGTCGTTATAGATTTCAGAAAATTCCAGAACATACGGTATTCGGAGGTCATAAACAGAAATCAGTTATTTTAGTAAATGATGATTCATATGACACATCCTATATACTAAATTGGAATTTACTACAAAGTAAATGAGCTGTAAATCGTTTACGTAATGCTTAGCCAGCGGGAAATAAACTGTTTCACAACGATAAATTATGATGATGCCGATGCAGCATCGGCGATGCTGTATCAATGAGCAACCGGAGATTACGAAGTAGTGAACATTAATACCTATAATATAATAAAAACGATATTGGTTACATTTACCATTTTACCTTCTTCTTCTTCTCAGTCGTTCACTCCTGGCGGAGTGGTCGTGGTTACGTAAGTCTTAATATTTGGTTGCGGCTTTTGAGAGACTTCTCCATCTTTCTCTATTTGTGGCGGTACGTGTACACTCAGTAAGGGAGCACTTCGTAGACAACTTAACCAAGTCTGTCCACCTTGTGGGTGATCGGCCGCGAGAGCGTTGACCGTCTACTCTTCCTTGAACCACTAAACGTTCCAATGACCTTTCATTACGAATGATATGTCCAAATATATTAAGGATTTTACCTTACCTTAACCTTACCATTACCATTTTACCTTAACTGTACTTAATTAAAATCTTTCGTCACAGCAACAAACGTTCTGGTATTTATTAGGAACACTAACCGCTCAATTAAGGAGACCATCAAATTTTTTTTACTCCGAGAGCTTTCATTAAGCCTACATAATCTTGGTGTTCCCGAGAACTGAGAGCTGTGTGGCGCAGTATCTACTTATGATAAGGTAAACCTTGGTATTGTCTGCACTTGATGACAATAGAAATAAAAACTTTCACTACAAAAATGCTCACATAATAGAAGAGGATGTGCGAAGTATTTACACATTACAAAGGATCTGCAATAATTGAGCAATTATTATTCGTTGTGTAAATGCATACACATTTGTCATTATTTCAATTTAACAAATACCTAAATTTTTTATCAGTTAACATTTAGAATTCATTGAGCAGCTACATACCTACGGCTAATGTGCAAAAATGTTTAAATTTAAATGCACTGTTTTTATTTTATTTTTTGTAAGTTATTTGAACTATATGTACGACAGATCCTGCTTATAATTTAACTCAATTAAAATTAACTTATATGTTCTATCAAATATTAATTGGTTGATATTATCCCTTTAGATTGGGAATTATGGCACATTTATTGATTTTAATGAGCTTCAAAAAAGTATTTTGCAATGGAAGAACGAGAAGTTTCCGAACCTTAACGAGGTTAGCTGAAATATTTTCTCCCTTAATTTGCAAATTATTTAACTCTCTTTTTAAGTTTTATTTTCTTAGATCGGCGTAGCTACTAACGGAGTTTTTGACTTAAGTGACGTGAAGAACAAGATACTACAATGGAAAACTCAAAAACTTGCGGCGCTCTGCCCTGCGAACGGGTAATCAATAAGGCATAAATTTCATATTATACTGATAAAATTAAAGTGTAGGTAAATATAAGTATAAAATTTAAAAAGTAAACCGATAAGCGTGCGGAAAGTTAGAAAGGAAATATCAGTTGCCAGCTGCGAATGGGCTTTGGAGACTGTTAATTCAATTCAAAACGAAGTTAATACTGTTCTTGGGAACAAAATTTGAAGAGTTCTTGTAAAAAATAATATTATTTGCAAACAATTTACTTACTACTCAACCACGAGAGAGATTTCACAAAAGTTTCCTTTTCTATTTAGCATTTTTATTCATTATTCAAAATGTCAATCAATCATAAATTATCACTTTTATCTAGATAATAGTGATAATTATGACTTTATTCTATCTGTCTCTGTAGTAGTTTCTGACTAGGTACTGCAAGGGATCATTTCGTACCCTACTTTCCTTAAAACAACAGAAAGTGTGAAGTGTTTCTAATACGAGATGTATTCTTTTGTTTTGTTTCAGCCCTCAATTGCAAAATTTACTTAGCATTGTTTGTAGTACAGCACAGGCCACAAATGTAACCCTACGAGATGCATGTATAGCATGTTTCTCAAGGGTTACATCAATGCAGGAAGTAAGATGAAGTAAGACGATGAAATAAATTTAATATGATTGCATATAATGTAATAAACTGTTTTATTTCAGGGACCGCAACAACTGACAGCTTTAAGTACTTGCGCCACTCAGTATTTTACGAATACCTCATACTCTAGTTGCGCAACATCCCTAATGGTATGCCACTACTGATGGTATTATGTTTTCTACAGTAAACCTCGACTTCCATTTAGTATCTGATGTATTCGTAGCTTTTGACTTGATTTGAATATAGCTACGTATGCAGCGGTGGGGCCTTTGGGTAGAGCGAGAGATACAGTCTCCCTAGACGAGGGGCAGTTAGAGGCGCCAATACTAAAAAGTATAAGAACGTTCTAGCGCAATTTTATAGCACTTTTTGACAACAGCATACCTGCCCACAATTAATATTAAAATTTGAACCCCGGAAAATATATTAAAGCTGGACGCGGTACGATAGCTGTCATAAGTCATATAGGATAAAAAGTGAAATTCAATTTTTGAGGAATACATACATACAAATGCGTTTAATTCTATGAATAGGTTGAATAGTATAGTAGAAAATAACTAATTTTACATAAATTATTTGTAAAAATTGTCCCCTTTTCAACATTATCTTCATTTAATTTATATAAAAACTTAATACACGGGGGTTTCTCATTAAGCTCGTAAGCACAATCGTTTTTTTTTTTCGTATTTCAATCGAAAAAAAAAGAAAATTCAGTGTATTCTAATTTCAGAAATATCCTTAAACACAGATATAAATTAAATACAATTTAAGATGGGAAAGATCCGATGAAAAAATTCCGAAAGACCATTTCACACTACCTTGATTATTAGTTAGAGCCCGCGACCATAAAACTACTCAAACCTATAGATTTTTAAATTTAAATCTCTGATGTTGTATCGTCATGATGACTTCTTCATGCCAACTTTATCGGCCCTTTACAGAATATACAGAGTGTATTGTAGATGTTCTCGAAGGCAGGGTTCTTGAGCAGAGGTCGAGGATTCGTTTTCATGTAGTAAAAGTTACGATTGCCTAGGCTATGGCCGTCCTGGGTTCAGACTGGGTATGGTTGCCTAGCATTGGATAGTACAAAATACCTTTTTGGGTTAAAGAACTATTACAAGACACACACCCTCTATATTAATATCTAGGTACTTTATAACGTTTACATTTTCAAAAATCCCGCCTTCGGGCTGTATTTATTATATACCAACTCCTGAATTTATAATTATTACCTATTTAAAAATTTCAAATATTATTATATATTATACTCATATATTTTATAATTATTATTAACAAATTTCATACTGTCTGTCAGTTTTTATTAAAAGCTTGGAATAAATTGACTATGAGTATAGAAAAGGTTATTTTTAGGTCCTGTCCACGTCAGCTTTAAATGTGAAACCATCTGGTTGCTATATGGGATACTGTGATTTCGTGAGATGTCTTCGAAGAATTAACTCAGTTAATTTGGTAATTACTTTTTAATTCTATTGTTCTACAATAGTATAGATGCCCAGTCTAATAATGTAGCTTCATGTACTAATTCAAAGCAAGTTCTCGGAGATAAATATTGCTTATCGACCTTTGGAAAGAGACAAAATGTTAATTTCGGCTTCGTGAAATATTAGCATGAAACGGTAACTGGCGACTACACTTTACCGCACTTGAACAACGACTGATAAACATCACACAGATAATGTGCGGCAGAAATAATGCTTTACGGTATCTACGAAGCTGAAATTAAATAATTAAAATTGGCTCTATCTAAAGTTTGATGTGCAAATCTTTATCGCCGGTTTCTCCAGATGAGACATTCTTGCTGTTGCTTACTTTAATTTTAGTAGGTATTTGATTTTAATCAAAGACTATATTAATCTATCCTTAGATAAAGCGACGACCTACTGAGTTTCTCGCCGGATATTCTCAGCGCGTCGCGTTTCCGATCCGGAGGTAGATTCTACGAAGCACTGCTCTTACTAGGGTTATTGTTAGCAAATTCACTCAGGTTAAGCCCGTGAGCTCACCGACCCGTCTGGGCGTAGCTGGAATAGCCTCTTAAGCTACTACCTTATTTTAATTTAGTACCTTTTTAGCTTGCATACCTTATTTATTTGTTATACTAATATATCCGTTTTTTTTTCAGATAACTCAATGCACTAGGGAAGCAAGAACAGGAGTCAATTTATCCTTAGATTCCGACAATGTTCGTTTTTACACGAATGTCACTTCGTGTATTTTAGCGAAAACTAGATGCGGTTCCTTTAATCCGATTACTGGTGATCCTCAAGTACCAGGATATTCAACCGCTGGTGTTAGATTAAGTAATGCTTTGCAGTTTTCGGCAAGTGGTGAATTAAGGATACTAGCTTTTCCAACGCAAACTCCAGTTACCAATGCCTTTTGTGCCATTTCTAATAACCTCACTCAAACAAATTGGCTAACAAACGTTTGTTAAATTTATTGAATCATTAATCATATGGAAATGAGTTATATTACAATTAATTAACATAGCCAAACCATTAGAACAATAAAATTAAGTTACATTTTAGAAAAATACACTGGTCAAATAACTTATTACGAACATAAATAATTAAAAAAAATCTTTGTATTAAGAAAAATACGTCGGTTTAAGTAATCACCCGTTGTTTTTGTTTTTTATCTGAATATACACAGAAAAAATTATTATAACTTAGTGAAAATACGTACTTTTGTACGCGAGCTCGAGTCAGATAGGAAGAAAACTTTCGTTCAGAAAACCCCAGATAATTGCAAAATACTATAAATACCATACTTAGGTAATAATAATTAATAAAAATGTGACGCTTACGCACGTACAAGATCATAGCAGAGTTGGAGAAACTGATAGGGATGGAGCTATCGATAAACGTAACACGATAACAGACCCGATATTTTTTTACAAAGTGTAAGAAACTAAACTGTGTATTACCGGATAATTTTGTACAAATTTATTGACTGATATTACATTTCATTACAACATGTATTTATGTTATGTTTATTCTTTATTTATTTACTGCAATCAAAATCTGATGAATCGTCACTGTCACTCGATGAGCTCTCCCATTTATTATAAGTTCCTGTACACTGAACACAAAATACACAACGTAACGTATGGATAATGTAAAAAAACTCAGCGAATAGAAATGTAGGTACCTAGTGACTATACAGCACAACTGTCTTCTTGCGAGTGGCAAATTAAAACAAACATAAAATGGCGGTAGGCCATTGAGTGTTCCTAGCTTGAGAAAATATATTTGAAATTTTTTTTGTATTTTGTCTTTGTTCAAAACATAATAAATGTATGCGATCGATATATATATATATATCATTACTTATTTCGTTACAACACTACAACTATCAAATTTGAACTGTCATTGAGGAAAAAAAGAAACGGAAATAGTTTAATAACATTGTAATTGCATTTGCAGTCAATGCAGTCTTAATAAACATAGTGTATTATTGAGGAAAATATAGAAAGTAGATAAAAAAATATGCAGAGATATGTACTGTAATTAGTATCAACATAAATAAACCCGACGACACAGTAAAGTACAGAAAAAAGATTGCGTGCAGGATCATATTAATTTCAGGCAAGTTTTAATTCATTAAGTAAGCAAAGAATCCTCAAAGTGACCTTCAATATGTGTTTGAATTAAATAGTATCACTGAAATCACCATAAAGTCTTATCACAAGGGCGTCCTTTTTTTTTAAATTTATTAAAACTAAGATAACTTTAATTCATTAAAATTTATACAAATTGAATATAAAATATATTGTTTAATAGTTTTTATTGGATTTAATATCAGATACATTTTTAGAAAATTTAGTTTTACACTTTAATTTCTTCACTGTCTTCGGTATAGACTGGACTGAGTCATCACTATCTGTGTTATCGGAAACCAATAAGGTGTTTCCCTTAGGAATAACCTTTTTTGTTTGTACAGCTGTTGTAATGATTGCTCCTTTACGAAATGCCATTTTTGCTTGCTTACATCCATTCTGATTTTTCAGTAATGATTGTGTGTTCCGAGGTATTTCAGTGAAACTTGTATTGTTAATATAGTTTGATGTTTCTGATTTTGAGTGTTTCAATCTGAAAAAGAAGAGTCTTCAAATTTCTTAATTTTTAGGGGTGCAGTGGGTAGCTAGCTACAATAATCACAATGTGAATTCAAACAGGAAAATCTTAAAAAAGGAGGCTTTACGCTATAAGTAATTTCTCATGATTTGCTTAATGGTAAAAATAGGCATTGTTGTGGTAGCTAAATGATAGGCTCAAAATATGTCCCATGCCAATCACTACAAAATGTGGGATTTGGCTTTGGGTATATTCTGATGTCTATGGCCTTGTTAATAAGCAAAAGGTTTGTCAACAAGGCGTAACTCTTTTTATAGTATTACTTAAAATCAGCTGTGAGCTCAATGGCCCCTATAGGGCCATATAAAAACAATCAACATTGTATACATTCAAATAAATATTCTATAAAAATTATTGTACAAGACACTTTAAAAGGAAGCTTGTAGGTTGCAAATTCTTTATAAAAAAATGAAATTAAATCAATCCTATGAATTTGTTACATACATGATGTTTAATATTTTATCATATTTTAATCATAGAAAAGCTTGTAGTACACTATAAATATATAAATAATTATAAATCAAACTGACTTAGCTTTCTTTTTCCACTTTTTTTTATGTTTGTTGTCAATTGTTTCTAAAGTATCACTAACAGAATTTGGCACTTTCAATAATAACTTTTTAGTTTTTGGTTTCTTTTTCTTTTTTTCCTCCTTGTTTTTCTTTTGTTCGCCTTCAAGCTCTTCAAGTTTTTTTGAGCAGGATCTGTTTACGAAAGCATTCCTCCAGTGAAACAGGTAATATTATAAATTGAAAAAGATTACTTATATAGTCGTATAATTATAATATGAATGTTACCTCAATAAAGCTTCACTATCAGTGAAGTATGAATTCATAGCAAAACTAGATATACCCCACGATAAAGGGCCCTTTTCTTCCGCTTGCACACCACTCCAAATATTTCTCTTTAGCGTATTCAACTTAACATGAAGTGCCGATGACTGGCTGTTTCGGTTTCTTATGTCAGAAAGGCATCTTTAAAACAATATTTGTATTAGTCAAAATAAATTATATTTATAGTTCACAATTAAATGAACTTTTTAAAAAAAAAAGTCATGTGTTTTTTTATTTTATTCCAGAGATGTGTGGACGAGCTCACAGTCCACCTGGTGTTAAGTGGTTACTGGAACCCAGACATCTACAGCGTAAATGCGCCACACACCTTGACATAGAAGTTCTAAGGTCTCAGTATAGTTACAACGGCTGCCCCACCCTTCAAACCAAAACGCATTACTGCTCGAACGGCAGAAATAGGCGGGGTGGTGGTACCTACCCGTGCGGACTCACAAGAGGTCCTACCACCAGTAATTACTCAAATTATAATTTTGCGGGTTTGATTTTTATTACACGATTTTATTCCTGTTATTCCTTCACCGTGGAAGTCAATCATGAACAATTGTTAAGTACGTATTTCATTAGAAAAATTGGTACCCGCCTGCGGGATTCGAACACCGTTGCATCGCTCGACACGAATGCACCGGACGTCTTATCCTTTAGGCCACGACGATTTATATGTCTCTCAAGAAAATGTAACTTTGGTGATTTTATGGATCCCAAGCCACAATGTTACTTAAAAAAAAGCCACAGTAAATTCTAACTCCCCAATTCTCCATCTTTTGTCATTTATAGTATGTATAATATGTAGTATTAATGAACTATTCTACTGAAAATTTGTTCTCTAAGTGGAGGTAGGAAATGAAATTTTATAAATAAAAATATCCAAAACTTAAGTCAACATGAGTCAATCCCTTGGCTTAGTTGGAATATGTTTAGATCCCATTTGTTCCCTAGTTCATTTATTTAAACTTAATATTATTACTTCCGCATATCTTTGCGGCTTTGCAGAATTTGAAGAGTTTGATTTGATGAAAACACACTCAAACACACTTTCTTTAATTGTCCATTAAATAACAAGTGTGTGCCATTGTATATTCTCTTAAATAATACCGATACACATATGTACTTGCATTTTATTAATACAAAAATACAAGGCTTGAGTAAGTACTACTAAAACAGGAGAGCACACTATCAAAGTTGTGCTGAAAACAATATACACGAAAACAAAAAAAAACATAAACATATTAAGCATGATGTGAATTTCAAATACTATAGATTGCTTTTAAAACATGCATCTAGAAACTATATTGTAATTGGAGTTTTTTTATTGGTCTTGTAGCCAGCCCAGTTAATGTTCCACCGGATTGTGTATACTTAGTTACCGTCTCTCATTAATGTAAGCAAAGGGGAAAGCCATGTTGCCTACCATAAGGAGTACAAAGTCCTACCAAATAAGTGCATCAAGCACACGAATGCCAGGGCCACTGGTTTCAAAGCACCCAATTTTTATATTATACCTAATTAATAAATAATCATACTTACTTTGCTGGTGGTAAACACCTAAATTGATGCCAAGATGCTGGTTGAAGCTTTGGTTTTTCCATTGATTCATTGAACATTGATACACTTCTAGGTCTTTGACATTTTGATAGTTTTCGTTCTTGATCAGAGTGATAAGGGGAATCACTAGTCTAAAGATAACAGAAAGCTTTTAAATAACAGAAGATTGCAGTTAAGCTCACTGTCGATCTGATAGTTAACACTGGCCAAGGATACTGATGTAGTAAACTGTCATGACCACAATTAGTATTTAAAACGAAAGTTACCGGCGCAGGTATTATTTTCAGTTCTGGTGGCATTTTCTTTTTTCTTCTTGGTTTTGGTTTTGTAATTTGGACAAATTTCTTCACTCCCCTAACTGGGCTATGGTGTTCATCGCATGATTCAACATCTGATGAACCATCTGTTATTGCATCTGAAGTCAAATCAATAGTAGCTCTAGAGACCTTAAAATGGAAAGATTTTAAATATATTGCTCATCATTAATGTTTAATCCACATAAGGTACTTTTGTGGCAAAAATAACAAACCTGTAAAGTTTCTCTTTTAGTCTTTTTTTTTTCAATCCTTTTTGACTTTTCCAATTTAGGACGCAGCTTTTTATGTTTCTGTAAAGAATAATACGTGGATATGTATGTAAATAAAGGTAAACAATATATTTTTATTACAGATTTTAACCTCCTCAGTATTGACATTGATATCGGGAAAAATTATTGGAGAAGGCGGAGGTGCGGTCTGCGTAGAATTAACTTTTTCTCTCATTACTCCTCTGTCCGTACTGCTGCTTGATGTGTCTCCTTCATCACTGTCAAATACCAAGCATGCGTTAAAAATACAATTTCAGTTTTCACGAGTCTTTATTAAGTTTTTGTTGAAAATAAGCATGCAAGCAGTTTTGACTATGTCTACAACTATATAGACAGTCCAGAAAGTAGATTTTCGGTATCTACACCAGAATATGCGTTTTTTTAACTTGACCAGTTTGCAACTAATGTTTTTTTAATATTGAAAGATCTTTGTAAATGAAACTGCTTAGTAACTCTAATGGTTGTACCTGGAATAATCAGACAGATCTATATTTGTGGGTTCGTCGGCGTTGGATCCTTCCTTTAAAAGTCTTGTAACGATCTTATTTCGTAAGCGTTCTTTACTAGGATCTTCATCATAAAAATCGAGCAAGGTTTCACAAAACATTCTACCAAGGCTCTCATAGTCTTGTACGGAAAAATGCGTAGACATTCTGCTTCCTAATTCGGAGCCTCCAAATGATGCTTCCATCGTGTAACTATTTGCTACACCCAACATCCAAATAACGACTCTGCCAGTGCCTTCCTTACTTCGTTGTATTCTGAACTTACAATTCTCAAAAGAAAACTAAAAGTGGAAATAATGTCTATTTTATTCAAATATACATTAGCACTAAATGGTAAAAAATGTATGCTAGCTATAGTGTCAGAGGGCTGAATATACGTATTTGCTGTAGATCGCTGGAGCAGACTGCTTCTTGAGTAGAGACTGCTCACCCGCAAATATAATGTGGACGCCCGCTGGCCAGGTAAATCGATGAAGGGTGGCCGACAAGAAGTCGATAAGAAGAGCCGAAGACCGGACTTAGTGGTGTTAGCTAGTCCAGTCTATGTCCAGAAGACCATTGTGGGCTCATGTTGATGACGATAGTAAAAAGTCGTAGTGAAAAAAAGGTTGTAGTCATCGTAGCCTAAAGGATAAGATGCCCGGTGTATTCGTGTCGAGCGATGCACCGGTGCTCGAATCCCGCAGGCGGGTACCAATTTTTGTAATGAAATTTGCGTAATTACTCGTGGTAGGACGTCTTGTGAGTCCGCACGGGTAGGTACCACCACCCTCCTTAATTCTGCCGTGAAGCAGTAATGCGTCTCCATTTTGAAGGGTGGGGCAGCCGTTGTACTGTTAACCATTTTAACAGTACAACGGCTGCCCCACCCTTACCACCTTACCTTGCCAGACCTTACAACTATGTCTCGAGGTGGGTGGGGACATTTACGTTGTAGATGTCTATGGGCTCCGGTTACCACTTAACATCAGGTGGGCCGTTAGCTCGTGCAACTATCTAAGCTATAAAAAAAAGTAATAAATTATTGAAATGCATACCTTATCTGCAGCATTCTTGTGCAACATTAATGGAAATACTTGTTCTTGCAATCGTTTGTCAGTATTTTTTCTACTTTCACATCCATAAATGAAAATATTGTGTTTTCTGGAGTGTGCATGGAGGTCCACATACATCGCAACACCACATTCCTCCTGTAATCTGTGTTAAAATCCTTGTCACATATTTATTTTCACTGTTACACTAACATTTATAATACGCACCTTCGTATCATTACTTTCGTATGCCATACCGGTGGATATGTTTCCCTTATTACTGTTCTATATTGTCTATTTAGGTCCTTTCCGGTTAATGAACAGCGGTTGTTTCCAACAATAACCTGTGACAATAGTGAAAATGTAATTCACAACTTAACATATTGGCATTGCATGTCCTTTGTTAAAACTATTTCATCACTTACTCCATCCGGATTTAACATAGGTACTAATTTGAAAATAAATTTCTCTCGCAACTCTCGAGCTTGATTCGAGTCTCCAGTTAAATAATCCATAAAGCCTTTCATCATCCAAGATGAAGGAGTTTCTCCTGGATGTACCCTTGCTGTGATAACAACAGCCTTTTTTTTCTGTGAAATCATATGAGTAGGTAACACATAATTTAACACGTTGACTGCCATGAAGGTCACTGGTGCCCTACGTGGCACACTGAAGTAATTATGTCGATTTTTCTATTCGATCTTCTTACTAAGACGCCGGAATATCTAGTAGACTATCGGAAAGATAAATTCGAAGTTACTGAAAATTAATCTATTTCTAAGAGACCTAAAAAACTAAAACATACATTAAAAACAAAAGTAGGCAAAGTTGGGCAATCGAGACGCGTAGTAAAAGAAATCGATATAATTACTTCCGTGCGCCGCGTAGGGCACCGGGGACCTACATGGCAGTGAACGTGTTAATTAGTTATCTCGGAGTAAAACAATTAAATTTCTTGTTACCTTTTGTTCGATTTCATTTGAATTCGGAGGTGAGGTTATTGTAAGGTAATATACATTATTTCCAGCCAATGTCCTACAAAGAAGTCTTAGTTTTGTAAAAGTTGATTTCACTGGATGAGACTGCAGTCTTGATAGATATTCTTGTAAATCTGAATATGTGTAGGGATAGCAGTGTGCTATATAGACAGCGTCATCAGTATGAGGGAACTCTAAATTAAAAGTGAGCGTGTAGCTCGGGAATTGTTCCTCTTCTTCGTTTCTGAAATATAACAATATTGTTGGCAATTTTTTATTGGAATACAAAAGTTCATAATGTAGAAACTCACTGTGGATCATTTTTAAAATAAGCGATGTTATCGCCGCATCTTCTCCAACCAATAGAATGCAGTTGAGCGTCCTTGGTCGAATATAGTAAAGGTCGCATGCCCTCGTTGTATAAACTTTCTGCCTTTGACAGATTTACAATGGAAAATCTGAAATATGAAGGTTATGCATTTTCATGAGAACGAAAAAATTTTTTTTGGATAGTGCTTTATATAAAATATCTGAATTCGAAGGTACCTGTACATTGTTTGCTTTTTTGTATTTGTAACTCTAAAGTAGAACCATTGCATGTGTCTATTTGTGTAAAGGTCTGTGCGGAGATGAAGTTCATAATATGCATTGGTAATTCTTATCGCCTTCGCTAGGTTTCCACTTTCGAACCGTGATTCGAACTTTAATTCGTCGTCTCCGCCAGCACTTGCACAAGCTGATAGATACAGTCGTGATCCTCCTACAGTCGACCTACTGAACTGTAATAATAAATTTAAATAGTTATTTATATATTAATACGTGAAGCAAAAACTTTGTATCCCTTTTTACGAAAATTGCGCGGACGGAGGTATATGAAATTTTCCACACTTATAGACAATATAGAGAAGAAGTGCATAATGCTAATATTTCTTTAAAATAATGCATAAAAGATACATTAAATCAATAAAGAAAACATTACACACACTACCATGTATTTGACACACACACGCATGCATACTATTTGTTTATTGTCAAACTTTTCTCATTGCATATAGTATGTGGTCAAATTGAGAATAGATTAAATATTGTTGTCTTTATTAATATTTGATTAAAGAAGCTTAGTAGTCTATGACAATAGAATCATAATAGTGTACAATCATAAAATTTCATTTAATTATAGTCGAATTTCGACTACCGGGTCTGGTCCACTAGTTGATTTAAATGGAGCTCTTAAAATTTCAAATTACAAAAGTTTTACTTTCTTGAAAGTATGGTACCAATCTCCAAGTAGATTCGTGAGTAGGTAACGTTTTTTTTTTATGTTTTTATCTTACACAATTGGGAGCAAATTATTATTACGGAAAAAACCCTAGTTAATTTTTTACCGTTGTAGACGGGTAAACGATTTCATTGCCTACCCGGTTTTATGTGGTTACTTGAACCTAGAGATGCTACAACGTGAACGCCGCCACTTGAAGACAGTCTGGATTGTATTTCATAACCGATGTCTATCCTTCGAACTATTAAATGTCAGTTGGGGATGACAGTATCGTGATAAAAATTAAAAGAAATGCCTCAACCCATTGTTCGGCGAATTCCTCGGTCGGTCACCTTCTAATGTCACCGACGGGAAGAGATGGAGGGTGCTATTCAAAGTCTTGGTTTATTCATAACTAGCAACCCACCCTCGCTTCGCTTCGGAAACTGTAATTTATCATTGATTTCTCCACTATTTAATGGATGTTATTATACATATAAACCTTCCTCTTCAATCACTCTATCTATTAAAAAAACCGCATCAAAATCCGTTGCGTAGTTTGACAGATTTAAGCATACATAGGGACATACATAATATATAGGAACAGAGAAAGCGACTTTGTTTTATACTATGCAGTGATATCAAAGGATAGCTACCTAAGACAAAGTTTTTCTATTGCTTTAGAATAATGTAGTAACTTACATAATTTACGGCACTCATGGGGTAATACTGAAATGTTACTGTCCCCGCTTCCTCGCCAACCGGTTGAGGGTTCAGTTCTTTGCCTGATGGCGAATAGTACGGTTCCGGTGTAGCTGGACTCCATGTTATGTGATGAATTCTTTCTTCGACAACCTATTTGTAATAAAAACGACGTAGATATATTCCTTTCAATCACATTGGTAGTCACATAGAGCATTTTCCTAATAAATTATGTTTTTACGGAATTGATAGCTGCAAGATATAGAGCTCATAATAACATTATGTAAATTGACTTGAGTTCCGCCCACTTTACGTTACCTGACACTCTGAAGGCCATCGCGGTGCTTGTTGTGGACAGTCAAGTTCCTTGGGTAGTGCAAAAAGATCACGGGGTTCTTTCAATTTGGCTATAGTCCTAAACGTGTTTTCATCTGTGTCTATCTCTAACTGGTTGCTTTTTATATTGTTTTTTAGAAAATTTGATATAAAGTTCCCTGAAAAAACACATCGCTATGATAGTAACATTTAGTCTAAAATTGATTTCCTTTCCTTTTGTGCGTCAAAAAGACTCGAAATTCCGAAATTCAAGCAAGTAATACTGAAAGTCAATTTTATATAGATACGTACCATCATTAAAAATGCACTTCAAAATTAAATGAATTTACTAAAGCAATTACCTACTTATGAAATCAGTGTTATTTTATTTATTTATTTATTTATTTTCATTTGGTATATAATTTGGGTAGGTGGGTAAATTTTTTCTATTTTTCTTAAATACTTTTCTAAACTTTTTCAATAATTACTGAAGGTTTTTCGTATGTGCTAATTTACCTTTACTACATATGGGGAATAAAGAGGCTTGCAGTGTTTTCACGTGTTCTAAATTTGTTACTAAGTAATTATCCTGTAAAATTGGATTAATAGGTGGTAAATCGATTGTTACTGTTGTATTATCTGTATACTCTCTTTTTCTTTGCTCTTCCATTTCAATCATCATTACGTTTTCTCGCGTACATTCAAGTTGTTTCCACCATAACATTTTAGTAAATTTCAAAACTAAAACTGCTATAGTGGATAGAACGTTGTCTTTTGTTTTGATTCTAATGGAATTGATATGCGTATTATCACCATGACTACTACACTTATCTCGATAAGAACGGCTGATATGAAATATATTGGGGTTAGAAAGCAAGCGTGTGCCGCGACGATTCGAATACAACTGAGGGTTTAAAAAAATAAAGGCTTTCGGTTATTGGATGAAAGACGATTTGTCCGGATTGCCCTAGTAATGTCATGCCCTGATCGTGTAAGGATTTATTAGGCGATTGGTGACGTCATCGAATATGTATATGTACTCGTGGAAATTATGGTAGGTAATGTACAATTGATTAGACAAATGATACAATTGATTAGATAAATATGTTCTGTGAAACTTGAACGACATTTGCGGTAGGTACTTATCTTTTAACTATTTTTTCTAATTTCAAATATTTTACATTGTCTGTAACAATTTAGTTTCAAAACAATAATTCGTACATAAATTTCCTTTCGTTTACTTACCCCTTGAGTTTTCTTTTTTATTGTTCTTATTTTCAAAGCGGAAGGCATCAATGGATTCCTCGTACATAGTTTGTAAATTGTAGATACAGCTAATTCATTTTATTATTTGTTCAAACTTCTTTGTTTTTGTTTTAAATTCAGAAGTGAATACTAGCTACCGACCAATCCCTGACTGCAGGATTTGTGGACTAGTCTTTGAGTGTACACGTTGGTGTTAACGGGGCAACGCCTACTTCGCAACATTTAACTACATATATCACATGCGAAGTTCTGCAACGGCCGAGAGTTAGTCTATTTATTATGTGCTTCTATAACTATGTGAAATTACAAGTAGAGAGTATTTGTAAGACTGAACTTGCTTAAGGTAATATAAATATGTTAACAGAACTTTAAAAAAATATCATGCTATGTTGTGAAAATTTCTAACACGTTGAACGTCAGAAACCTTGTTTAGGCCAGTCGGTCGCATCGGATACCGGTGTCTGCTATTAGAAATTTTTGAATATCATGGAACATCGCTGTTTCCGTAAGTTTTGGGGGTTGATGCTTCCCGTTTACGTCGGTTTAACGCGCGATTCCCTACAAGTGACCCCTGGGCGGTCCTAGACGGACGGGATCCGACAACACAATCGGTGGTGGGACCTAGTCCGACTGGCTGGCGACCACCCTCCAACTAGAGTCCGTCGCCAAATAGCCTAGTTGTGTTCCGGCGTGTGGGCTGGAGAGCCAGTGGTGACTACTTACCATCAGGTGGGCCGTATGCTCGTCTGCCTACAAAGGCAATAAAAAAAGTAATCCGTTATTTTTGAGTGAGTAATATTGGTTCATGCATGCGGAGAAGGTACGCTGTCCAACATATTATTATGGTGTCTGTCATGACGTTTCACGTGTTAAATGGACTGCCTTGCAAATTGCATAGATAGATAACGTAGGGTAAAAACAAGTAACACAGAAAAGTAAAAAGAAAACTTACAAAATTAAGTATGTCAAATACAATCATTGTAATAATATTAGGTATGCATACCCATACATTTTAGTTAAAAGCAGATTCAGTTGCTCCCAAAGTAAATCTGGTTTTTTAGGGTTTTATACTAGTTACGTAATGAGATGTAAAAATGTAAAAAACAAATAAGATGTTAACTTGTTCTGTTTCCAACAACACAAAAGGTGGTTGCACTTCCGTGTAAAGAGTTTCCCTGTTCGTGTGAAAACTTCACGATTGGCCTCAATCAGGGTCGCAAACTTTGATAATTTCGTAGACGTGACGCAAAAACGTTGTTAAATACTTGGTTTAAGTTAGGAGAAGTATAAAAGTAAGTGTATCTATACTAATATAATAATATAAATCTACAGTCTATATTTACGGATGTTCCGTTATAGCTACTGAACCATGCATCTGATTGACTTGAAACTTGGTATTCATGTAGAAAATACATGTACTTAATGGACAGGCTAATATTTATATCAGTGTTGGAATTCCTACACTAGTTGCGGGGGCGTTAATGATGAGAGTCTTTGTGGGGCTGAGAAATAATAATATTCATTTTTAATGCCCAGCGAAGCGGGTGAGTATAGATAGTCAACATATTTTATAAAACAGAAAATGTAAAGTCGGAGTGACCTTATTAATTTTCTACCGCTTACATGAGTGAACGGACAGATCGTCTGGTGTATGTTACTTCAAAATGTGATTGCCGCCATATGTCATAAGAAATGGTGTCTCTATTAAATTACATAACGGCTGTCTAGACCGGTGCCCATGACTACTTCGCTGTAGAAATAAGCAGAGTGAGTCCGCGCGGGTAGGTACCACCACCCTGCCTATTTTTGCCGTGAAGCAGTAATGTGTTTCGGTTTGAAGTGTGGAGCAGCCGTTGTAACTATACTTGAGACCTTAGAAGTTATATCTCAAGGCGGGTGGCGCATTTAGTTGTCTATGGGCTTCAGTAATCACTTAACACCAGGTGGGCTGTGAGCTCGTCCACCCATCCAAACAAAAAAAAAATAGTGGCGGAGCCAGTGTAGGCTTATAATACAATACACTCTGTCTCCAGTCGATGGTATATTACGCAAATTTATAGTACACGACGTTCATCCATAATCGTGGGAGTTGTTCGTAAAGAGGTAGTGAGCATTTTCTAAAAAAAAAAAATTGTAGCTTTCTCCAGGGTTTGTGCATCGCTTAACACGAGTAAATCGAAGGTATTTCAGGCCGCGTCGCTTTTGGTTCGGTTCTAATTTTGTTGGTCAATTTGTAGATTCAAGTGTCAGTTAATTAGTATTTAAATGTTGAATGCACTTTATGAATCTAGCCTTACAATTTTAAAAACACCTAACTACATATTGCACCCACATATGGCTACTACAGTCGGCGCGTTCCTACAGTAAATCTTGATGTGTAATTCATTCAAAACGATATGAATGTAAAGAAGTAAGGTAACCATGGTAACTCTGTAGTGGGATCGATTTCAATTTGCATACTAAAAAAACTTAACAAAACACAAAACTGGTGAGCGATTCCTACACTTTTTCTGGGGAAAATTTGATCGTTCGCTTCGTTCATTTCGTATCAAACAGTAATTGCTTTGATTATTTTGTATGCACGCTATCAAAATAAGAAAAAAAGCCTTAAACTAATTTTCCTAAAGTAAAGTTTGCATTTTAAGAAGAAATTTTTCATGGACATCTTTGTACGATAGCCGAGTATAAAATGCTTTTTAGTTGCTTAAATTATTAAATAGCCACTTTCGCTCATGTACACCGAAAAGGTACTGGCTCGATCCAGAAATCGCGTTTCACCCACAAATTTTATGTTAACTAAGGAAATAGTACAGTTTCAAAGGGTTTCGCAACATCCATAATAAGCACGGATGGTTTACTTATTACCGGGGTCCTTTGCAATATATGTAAAGCTACGAACGAGTTCAGGGGTGATTGGCCGTTCCCTGGCACAGCCTGGTGCGGATCGATTCGACACCAAGCCGTCATATCAATCGCAGGAATATTCCTTATTTTTATAATACATTACTTACGTGCCACGTATCATTAAATAAGAATACAGTTTGACGCAGCGATGCTGATCTTGGGTTAATATTTATTTTNCCTTTGCAATATATGTAAAGCTACGAACGAGTTCAGGGGTGATTGGCCGTTCCCTGGCACAGCCTGGTGCGGATCGATTCGACACCAAGCCGTCATATCAATCGCAGGAATATTCCTTATTTTTATAATACATTACTTACGTGCCACGTATCATTAAATAAGAATACAGTTTGACGCAGCGATGCTGATCTTGGGTTAATATTTATTTTTTTCCTACCTAAGCTGATAGCCTTGAGAGGCTATTTCAGCGTTACCTTAACTAGTAGGTGAGCTCACGGTGATCAAACCGGAGTGATGCTAACACTGACCCTAGCAAGAGCAGTGCTTCGCAGAATCTACCACCGGATCGGAAACATGACCCACTGAGAAGATCCGGCGAGAAACTCAGTGGGCTGTGTCTATGGGTTAATTCGCTCGACGAGCCCTTCGTCGCAAGCGACGGGTTCAACGAGGACGGTGACCGGGGTTAATAATAAGAAACGTAAATTGCATTGCAAACCAGAATTTGCTTTATCGGTATCTGGATTGGGTCCATTAATTGGGTATATGCTTATCACATTTATATCTAAGACTAAGAAATGCATCTGTTTGTTACAGATTAGAAAATGGGTAGAAAAGTGACAGTAGCGGTTTGTACCTTGAATCAGTGGGCTCTGGACTTTGAAGGAAATTTGAACAGGATATTACAGTCAATTCAAGAAGCCAAAGAGCTCGGTGCATTGTATCGAACTGGCCCGGAGTTAGAGATATGGTAAGTTATTGTGATAAAACGCAATGTTTTTTGTTTTTTTTTTCCTACCTAATTACTAGTAGCCTCGAGGGGGTATTTTGGTTGCACTGGACTGGGAAAGCACAGAGTTCAATGCACTGAAAAGCTTAAAGCGCCTTTCCCAGACATTTAAAATATTTTGCTTAATAAGTTTAACAGTATTTATGTCAATTATCGTCATGCTAAGTTTGTCTGGAATAAATCACAATTGACAAATAATTCCATTTGTTACACCCAACACTTTTGATCTTGTTACATAATCGCCGATAAAAAGATACGACGTTCCAAGTAAACTCAGTTTATCACTGTGTTACAGTTGTCGTGGTAGATTTATCTAAAAAGATACGTATTATGCAATATGCGTTGGAGATATATTATATAGGAGATATTGTATACCTTGGTATATATGTATTAGTAGTTGGGAGCCGCCTTTAATTTGACTGCCGATGGAGGGTAATCTTTTTTCGAGCGTATATGTACATAAATATACAGATGTCTAATTTTATGGCACGCTCTGCAGCCTAAAACTTTTGACGTTTTTCAACATATCGAGTGTCATTAGATTCGTCTCAGTTGCGGGAGGGACAGAGGGTATATTATAATGTGTTTATAAAATAATAATAATGTGGAAAAAAAAAACTATTGCATTGTATGTATAAAGTAGACCATGGTACTAATTTCTTTTATCGATAATAATGTAACTAAGAAGTGTGATAATTAAAAAGCAAATAAAGAGTTATGCTAGTAAAGGTATTTATTATGGGCGGTGACGAACAAAGAAATAAAACATAATTTGTATGTAGTTGAAACTACCAATGAAACTGTTAGCTTCACCCCGGTATAGTACTCGATAAGTAGATATTATTATCATTATTGTCTGTATTTACTGTATTTGTCTTTGTCTCTTTTTGTCTCCACTACGATGTTTCTATTCAAAAACTAATAAGGTTTTTCGTCGCAATATATTTAAAACGATAAATTTACCAACAAAAAGAAATTCGTTGTGAGAAAATCTATTAAACGATGCGGAAGCAAAAGTACATAAATTAGATAACCACCTAAACAATCTCAGTTGAAATTTACTAGTGCTGTTAAGGAAGACAAGGTCCCACATTAATCTTTTAATGACATTCGTATTCGTACTAAATCAATACTGTCGTTTTATTCCATTATAATGTCTTTCACGATCGAATAAGGAAAGAATAAAATTATTTTATTAGCGTAGGCAGACACGGACTACGGCTGTTATTCCGGGGGGTGATAGGGAAATAGTGGTAGGTTGAAATTGTCATGGTTTGTCCTTCGGCAGAAAAAAATAATAAAAAAGCAGAGGTAGGAGTTGAACATGCATATACTCAGATGAATAGATACTAGTGTTCGTCTAATGATCGAAATTAGACCACAATCACTGAAACTGTAGGCTTAGATTCATCTTATGTATTTATATTTCCTCTTTTAGATTTCGATTTTTCTCTCTTCTATTGAAAAAAAAGGAGATATTTCCATGTTTTGTTACTTCTAAAACAGACTGATATCTGTCAATAGCTGTTAAACAAAAAAAACAAAAGCAAATCGGTAGACAAACAGCAGAAAGTGGTACTAAGGGATTTACTGGTGATAGGGCGTCTACAATGCGTTTCGGTTTCAAGGGTTGGGCAGCCGTTATATCTATACATCTATATATAATAATTTAAATAAAATTGGAATAATATTGAAACAACTGCTTTTTACTAAGTTATATACGTTACATACACCAAAATAACATTCTTTTACAATTTTTGTCTGTCTATCTGTTTCTTTTGGCTAATCTCTGGAACGGCTGGACCGAATTTGGCGGGACTTTCACTGATAGTTAGTTGATGATATAAGGAGTTACTTGGCTACTTTCTTAACTGCGGGTAACATTGCGGGACTCAGCTATCAATAATAAAATTTAATGTTTCCGAAGTGAAGCGAGGGCGGGTCGCTAGTCTATTTATATAAAAATAATGATAGAAATACTAAAATTATTTTTTAGCGTGTTGTTAAAAAAGTTCAAAAATATATTTAAGAAAAAATAAGAAAATAAAACGCCTTAAGGATAAGAACGCGACAAAGACAAACTGTAAAAAACTGATATGTTTTGAAGCAAATTTTTTTATGACAAAAACTTTTGTACATTAAAGTGGAGTAATTTTGATTATTTATTTTTAGTGGTTATAGCTGCGAAGATCATTTCCACGAATCCGACACGTACCTTCACAGCTGGCAAGTGCTAGTCGAACTATTGAAATCGCCAACATGTAAAGACATACTCATAGACGTCGGTATGCCGGTACAGCACCGTAACGTCTCATACAATTGTCGCGTGGCGTTTTTCAACAGGAAGATAATACTTATCAGACCGAAAATGATATTGTGTGACGACGGGAATTACAGGGAGACCAGATGGTTCTCCTGTTGGACTAAAGTAAGCGAATTAGTGTAATAGATAGTAGTAATTGTTCCCTACTTTTGCGGACTCATTTTAATCAAATCAAATCAAAATCTTTTTTTTTTATTCAACATAAATGAAAGCACACAATTGTTGAACGTCAAAAAGAACTACCGCCAATTGACAAAAACTAGCCTCCGTCCTGAGAAGAACTGACAAGAAACTCAGCGGGCATGTCTTTTTTTATATTAGAGTTTTTTTTTTAAATATTAGATTTTTTTTAATACATATTCATTTTTACAAGGAGTATTATAACGTAACAATAATTGCAATATTGAAATGCCCAGAGCGAGCAACTCATTCCCACTTTGTGCAATCTTCTAGATAATCATTGACTTTATAGTAGTAAGCTTTATTTAATAAGCTGGTAACTTTAAATTTAATCTTGTAATTTATTGTCATAGTGTTTTTCTTTAAGTTAGACGATCTTCCATAATATCTATGGGAAGAATCAGATGGTGTATTTTCTCGAGTTACATAAAATACAATAACACTCCTATAACTTCTCCCCTCTCCTTAATAGGAAAATTGACAAATCTTAATTTTTAAAATGATTCCTGCAAACTTTTTCTTGAACGTAATTTACTACGATCGTCAGCTAATGCCAGACATAGCTCGCGTATTTAACTACCCAAAAAATCTCAAGGTGTTTGTATGTAATGTTTTTTATTTATGGTCAATAATGTTTATTCACACTTTATTATTTATTCTAGGACAGACAAATCGAAGACTTTTATTTACCAAGAATGATAACGGCAGTGACGAACCAATCTACCGTTCCTATTGGTGACGCTGTTATCTCGACCAGAGACACTTGTATAGGTTTCGAAATATGCGAAGAATTGTGGAATCCACAAAGGTATTGCTGAGTATTGGTTTTTATAATATGAATTCGTTTCGTTTGTATTCATTTTATACTTTTATTTGTAGAAAGGAACTGTGCGATATTTACGTGTTCAGTAAACATCTATAAGAAACAAAATTTCACACGTTTATTGTTATATAGAATAAATTAATAATCCGATCGCCCTAAATAAGGACTCTATGTACTATGGGAATCAGAGACTGAATACATATATACCTTTAAATAAAGTCATATATAGAAACTAAATACCCAGACAAAGAGTGAACAAACTTGCTCATCACACGAACGTTAGTCCGATTTGCGAATCGAAACCTCGAACCTTGGCGCAGCAGCTATGACCGCTAAGTACTGTGCCATCGAGTCAGTCAAATATTACATTGATCATCATTATAGGTTGGTTAACTAATATAATTATGAATTTATATATTTTTCTATATTTCCCAGCCGCCACATTCCGTTGAGCTTGGACGGGGTAGAAATAATATCGAATGGCTCCGGCAGCTATATGGAGCTCCGTAAAGCGTACGTCACGGTCGACTTGGTGAAGAGCGCGACCTTCAAGAGCGGGGGCGCATATCTGTTCAGCAACTTGAGGGGCTGCGACGGCCAGAGGATATACTTCAACGGCTGCTCGTGTGTGGCCGTGAACGGAGAAATTGTCAGTCGGGGACAGCAGTTCGGTTTGATCGATGTTGTAAGTAAACGTTTTGTCTGTTTGTGTAGTCAAATTTCAAGTATTGTCAAATTTGTATGTAGCTGAAACAGCTTCCTTTCGTTTGCCGCCAGGGGCGCTGTTCTAACTCCATACTAATTTGAGTTAACTTTTACGTGATCTAGAAGTTAAAAAACTCGCACTAAGATGAATGACAATTAAAAAACAACTAGTTTTATTAAAAGTACTAGCTGACCTGGCAGACTTCGTAGTGCCTCAATCGATAAATAAAAAACCTAAGCTTTTGTATAAAATAAACTTAAAACAAACAAAGGAATCCGTCCGACGGAGGACATATCGAAGGGAAACACTATTGTTATTTTTATTTAATTCCGAGCATTTTCATATTTATCTACCTCCTTTTAAACCTTATAATTCAAGACCAAAATTAGCCAAATCGGTTCAGCCGTTCTCGAGTTTTAGCGGGACTTAACGAACAGCAATTAATTTTTATATATATAAGATTCAATTAAAGAAGTTTAGCAGTTTATCTAGCGTTCGGCGATTATTTTTCGGCAGAGCCCAATTAAAGGATATTTGAAGCTCCAATGCTCACCTTAAGATGTGAAGTCAAAGTCTCGATAGAATTCCTTTGCGTTCCAAATAGGCCGAACGGTATTAGATGCTACAGATTTCAGAAAAAAAAAACCTTATTGCATAGTAACATTCACTGTGATAATTTTGCCTCCAAATATTTATATGATAATAAAATTTTAATATATTATATTCATCACCATTAAATCGTATTAGATTTATGTGCGTGTCTCACAGGAATCTTAAATTTATCTTGTTCTTCTAGGAAGTAACGACCGCTACCATAGATTTAGAAGATATAAGGTCTTATCGAGCAAAAAATAGATCTCGTTGTCATTTGGCAGCTTCGAATAAACCATTTCCCAGGATCTATGTGGATTTTTCGCTGTCTGACGATGAAGACATACATTTAACGACGAATCCACCTATACAATGGCACTATTTGAGTCCAGAAGAGGAAATATCTTTGGGTAAATAATATAATCAACTAATTATTTTGTATATTGATACAAATCTATGTACAATTTTATCAAGCAAACTGAACTAAATCAAATAAATTGTTAGATTATATTGTCAAGTTGAATTATCCTACATTTTTTTTTTATTGCTTAGATGGGTGGACGAGCTCACAGCCCACCTGATGTTAAGTGGTTACTGGAGCCCATAGACATCTAAAAGGTAAATGCGCCACCCACCTTGAGATATAAGTTCTAAGGTTTCAAGTATAGTTACAATGGCTGTCCCACCCTTCAAACCGAAACACATTACTGCTTCACAGCAGAATCTAATAATTTTATCATTTTTATTTTATTGCTCTTGTAGGCAGAGGAGCATACGGCCGACATTATGGTGAGTGGTTATCGACGCTCATGGACTTTAGCAAGCCAGGGGCAGACCGAAGCCACTGCTTATTATATTGCTGTCTATCATATTATTTAACATGTTGACTGCCATGTAGGTAACCGATGCCCTACGTGACGCACTGAAGTAATTATCTCGATTTCTGTTACTAAACGCCTAGATAGCTTAATTTTGCCTTCTTTTGTTTGTTAGTGTATGTTTTAGTTTTATAGGTCTCTCAGAAAATGGCTTATTCTCAGTATCTTCGGATTCGTCTTTCCTAGAATCTACTAGATCTTCCGGCGCCTTAGTAAGGAGATCGAAGACAGAAATCGACATAATTACTTCAGTGCGCCGCGTAGGGCACCGGTGAACTAAATAGCAGTCAACGTGTTAAGCCACTAGAATATAATTTATTCATTTGGAGTGGCAGCCCTGAGTGGAGAGGTTCTATCGGTTCTATTTTGACGCAATGCCAACGTTACTTGTCGCTTCCAGGTCCCGCGTGCTGGCTGTGGGACTACCTCCGTCGCTCGGGCCAGGGCGGCTTCTTTCTACCGTTGAGCGGCGGAGTGGACTCCAGCAGCACCGCATGCATTGTGTTCTCTATGTGCACACAGATATGCGAAGCCATTAAGAAAGGAGGTTTGTATATCTATACTAGCGACCCGCCCTCGCTTCGCTTCGGAAACTGTTATTTATTATTGATTTCTCCACTATTTAATGGATGTTATTATACTTATAAACCTTCCGCTTCAATCACTCTATCTATTAAAAAAAACCGCATCAAAATCCATTGCGTAGTTTTAAAGATTTAAGCATATGTAGGGATATAGGGACAGAGAAAGCGACTTTATTTTATACTATGTAGTGATATATAATTATTATTTTTATTGCGTTTTTTTATTGCGTAAGTTCTAAAGTTTCAAGTATAGTTACTTATATATCAATTTACATAGATAATAAACATTAAACATTAGTACAAGATTTTTGAGTATATCACCGAAAAACATATTCAAATTGATTCAGTATTGTGGAGTTTCACCCGCATGAATTCTTAGACAAATAAATAAAAATAAAAACTTTCGAATAACGAATCTATACTAATATATAAATCTACAGTAGTTTTTACGGATGTTCTGTTATAACTACTGAACCATGCATCCGATTGACTTAACTTGGTATCCATGTACAAAATACATGTACTTAATGGATAGGTTAATATTTATATGAGTGTTGGACTCCCTACACCAGTTGCGGGGGCGTTAATGATGAGAATCTTTGTAGAGGTGAGAAATAATAATGTTAATTTTAAATGCTCAGCGAAGCGGACGGGTACAGCTAGTAACATCTAAAGTTAGATTTTTAAGGTTATATCTTTAAAAAAGAATATTTGAGTTATGTTAATCAATAAGTTCCCTTACAGAAAGTCAAGTGTTATATGATGTAAGGAAAATCATGTGTCAGCCTGACTACACGCCGTCCGACCCGATGGAGCTGTGCAACAAGCTACTGGTGACTTGTTATATGGCGTCGGAGAACTCGAGCCGCGAGACTAAGCAGCGAGCTTCGCAGGTATTCATCTTGCTCGAAAATAACTTGTAGTATTGATTAAGTCTGTTAAAAATTTTGCGAGGATAAAATAAATGATGAAGGGAAAAATGAGTTTATTAAAAATTTCTCGGGATAAATCGTCTTCTCGCATTAAAACTGTATAATCTCAAAACTTACTAATTTTGCAGGAGAGTGTTTTAAAGAGTATTTTAACATGTGATATTTTTAATATTAATCATCTTTGCAACATTTATTTTTTACTTTTTACCAATTGCATTATCTGTCTTTTAAAGGAAGATAAAATTATGTATTAATTTTGTTTATAGAAGTCAAAATATAGGTAAACTAAAAAAAAAACTAAAACTAAACTACGCTCTTTTGACAGTATTTATGACAAAAATACTGGTGATACCAAATGATTCCGCATATTAACTCAATTTCGAATTTTTGGAAATTTTACAATTTTAATGCGAAAAGACAAAATGACGAAGGGAAAATCTTCCACCGAGCGGATGATATTGCTCGGTAAATCGACCGTCTTGAATGTTCTTGTTCGGAACTTGTATATATGGGAGCTTATCTTGAAAATGTCCTAAGCGAGGAATTCAGGAATCTGTCAAATATCTTGTGTTTGTATGATGGCTACCCGCTACAAATTTATCTTCTTTAACCCCTACTTAGTTGATCTTATCCAACTAAGTGGGGTCGGCACAGCTATTTTTTCTCTTCCATTCTCTTCTATCAGCCGTCATCTCAACACTCACTCTCTCTCATATCGTCATTCACACACTACATCCATATCTTCTTCGGTCGACCTCTTCCCCCTCTACCTTTGCAATACCATTTCCATACATCCTACCATTTCCATACATTCTACCTGTTACGACTGCTCTGGGGTAGACCGGTGCTACAAAATAAAAGAGTGGACTGTATTAATATTTAGTAAATTTATAAAAAGAGAAAAACAAGTAAGTGTCGCGGGCGGCGTTGCTGCACGAAGTGACGAAGCCGGTCTAAATCCGCTACCCCACGCCGCTGTCCTCCTCCCGGCGCCCGCGCCGCGCGATCGTTGATGTCCGTGCATCGACACTGCCATTTCCATACATCCTACCATTTCCATACATCTACAATCGCTGCAAATTTATACACACTTCCAATGACAGAAGTGAGTGAATGATAAAAAATCGTAAATCAAGTTTAGGAACCTGTGGTACATTTTCAAACGTAATTAGCTCATAATGTAAAATCGTCCCAAAACGGAAACCCAAGTTCATCACAATAAAATGAGAATAACATCAATGTATGTAGTACAAGTCGAATAAAAATGCTTTTTTTTAACGATAATTTAAAAATTGTTGATACTTAGTATTTTGATAATTTTAACTAGATTAAATTTAAAAGCACCAAGTTTTCTAATAAAAAAAGAATCATCGAAATCCTGTCACACATAAATAATGCAGTCAAAAATTTGATATGTTGCTTCTTTTTTTAAATCAGTTAAAATATTATTTGTTATTACCACACAAAAGTATATTGAATATAAAATACATATCGACGCTTGAAAGGCAAATGTGACTAAGCGACAATGCGTAAACTTTACAGTAGACTAATCGTCATGATAATCGCCTAATCGTTGCCGCCGCTGATTACTCCCCGAATCCTGATCACGCAGGAGCAAGTCACCGTTGTCGCCCTAGACACGTCCTTACGGATCCATCAGATCCAATAACTCTTGCATTAGATACCTTCAGCTCTAACACTAGGAGCAGGCTGAGGAACCCCGGTAACCGTACTCGTCGAACTCGACAAAGAGGTCGACGTGCAACCTAACCCATGCATCAGCCCGCCGAGTTTCTCGCCGGATCTTCTCAGTGGGTCGCGATTCCGATCCGGTAGTAGATTCATTCGCGAAGCAATTGCTCTTGAGTTGTTAGGTCTCCTTCGGAGGCGCTCGGGCAGTTGTTAGCAAATCCCACCCCTCCTGGCTGAGCCTTTGCTCGCCCCCCTGTCCTGGTGAAGCTGGAAAGGCCTCCGGGCCACCAGTAATCATTCAATCATAAAAAAAAGTAGACTAATTTAAAGTTGAAATACCTGAAAAAAAATCTATTTTAACGAATCTAGCTGTAGGATTGAAATGATTTTAATAGACCTAGAAATATATATTTCTTGCGCATCGAATATGGTTATTGTCTATCATTTATGTATAAAGCAGTTATTTTCGCTTAGTCACGTTTGCCTTTCAAGCGTCGATATTATATTTTTCCAAATGAAAATTAATGCTTATTTATGTGATCCAGGGAAGTTTTTTTCATAGTACCATTAATATCAAACAGATGGCGCCTGAGTTGTGTTAAGAAAACAGTGATTTTCATACAATAAGAGAATCTTGACCACTAGTTTTTTTTTATCTGAATCTCCGGACAGGTACACAGATATAAGATTAGTTGACCATTCGTATTATTTATAACATATAATAGTTTTGTATTTTCAGCTCGCGAGCCAGATAGGCAGTTACCATTTCCCAATTCTGATTGATACGGCGGTTAACGCTGCGCTTGGCATCTTTACTGCGGCTACTGGTCTGTTACCGATATTCAAAAGCAAAGGAGGCTGCCCAAGACAGAACCTTGCATTACAAAATATACAAGTAAGCATCGAGAATAATAAATAAGAAACAGAAAATAAAGCTCGAACCCGATGTATAACGATACATACGCTGATATTTAGATGTTTTTGGCATTAATGTTCAATCAGTGCTCGAAATTCGACATTAATCACTGGCACATACAAATTGAGATTAATCTTAAGTATTACACTTCTCTTTCGATTTGTTATTTAAACAAGAAAAATAAAATAAAATAAAATCGGTTGATAAATAGAGGAGAATATTACTGTACTGTTTCGTCTTTGCCTGATTATCTATGTATAGACTAGCTGTGTCTATTACTTCGTCGACGAGGACTTTGTTTTTATTGATGATATTGTATTTTTACAAACAAACAGACAACAAACAAGACATCCTAACCTTTTTTTTAGTAAATCTATGGACAGATTTCTGTATACATACATAATTTGTATGCAACATGAATTTAAAGAAATATAGTTTAAAATCTATAAATATATTAGCGACCCGCCCTCGCTTCGTTTCGGAAACTGTAATATATTATTGATTTCTCTACTATTTAATGGATGCTATTATACATATAAACCTTCCTCTTCAATCACTCTATCTATTAAAAAAACAGCATCAAAATCCGTTGCTTATTTTTAAAGATTTAAGCATACATAGGGACAGAGAAAGCGACTTTGTTTTATACTATGTAGTGATATACACATATACTATAAGGACTACTTTTATATCATATCAAAAATACCCAATTTTAATGCAATATTTAATGTTTCCAGGCCCGTATACGTATGGTTCTGTCGTATTTGTTCGCGCAGCTAATGCTCTGGGTCCGCGGCAGACCTGGAGGTCTTTTAGTACTGGGATCCTCAAACGTCGACGAAGCCCTGCGAGGCTATATGACTAAGTACGATTGTTCCAGTGCAGATATTAATCCCATCGGTGGAATATCTAAGACTGACCTCAAATCTTTCTTATATTACGCTAAGAATAGGTGAGTTTTATTAGTGAAACTAATAAAGTGTCTTTATTTTTATTGCCTAGATGGATGGACGAGCTCACACACCACCTGATGTTAAAGGATTACTAGAGCCCATAGACATCTACAACGTAAATGCTCCACCTACCTTGAGATATAAGTTCTAAGGTCTCAGTATAATTACAACGGCTGCCCAACCCTTCAAACCGAAACGCATTACTCTTCAGGGCAGAAACAGNTGGGATCCTCAAACGTCGACGAAGCCCTGCGAGGCTATATGACTAAGTACGATTGTTCCAGTGCAGATATTAATCCCATCGGTGGAATATCTAAGACTGACCTCAAATCTTTCTTATATTACGCTAAGAATAGGTGAGTTTTATTAGTGAAACTAATAAAGTGTCTTTATTTTTATTGCCTAGATGGATGGACGAGCTCACACACCACCTGATGTTAAAGGATTACTAGAGCCCATAGACATCTACAACGTAAATGCTCCACCTACCTTGAGATATAAGTTCTAAGGTCTCAGTATAATTACAACGGCTGCCCAACCCTTCAAACCGAAACGCATTACTCTTCAGGGCAGAAACAGACAGGGTGGTGGTACTTACCCGTGCGGACTCACGTAATTACGCAAATTATAATTTTGCGAGTTATTACACGATGCTATTCCTTCACCATGGAAGTCAATCGTGAACATTTGTTAAGTACGTATTTCATTACAAAAATTGGTACCCGCCTGCGGGATTCGAACACCGGTGCATCGCTAGATACGAATGCATCGGACGTCTTACCCTTTAGGCCACGACGACTTCATGTGATATGCTCGACCCAGCGTAACTAGACATCATTTAGTTTTTTATTCGTTCCCACGTAAATATGCAGATTGTACTCACGCAGAAATTGTTCGATGAAAGAACGCTGTGCCCACTAAAACTATATACGATAAAATTATAAATTTGTAAACAACAATAACAATTAAATTAAACGCAACGTTTTTAAAATTCTAGATTTTTCTTGCCGTCTCTATCGGAAATTCTAGAAGCACCTCCGACTGCAGAACTCGAGCCATTGGCCGACGGTCAGATAACGCAAACCGACGAACAAGACATGGGTATGACATACGCTGAACTGTCCGAATTTGGAACTTTAAGGAAGACCTATAAATGCGGCCCTTACAGCATGTTCGAGAAACTGGTTCATAAGTGGAGTGATAAATGTACGCCTAAGGAGGTTAGTATTATTTGCTTGTTTTTAAACTGTAACAATAGATGACAAGATGTGTATAACAATTGTGAGATTTCGGAAACGAAACCACGATTAAAGAATGAGTATATATTCATAATATGCAGGTGTTTTAAATAGGCCATATATAAATAAGTCACATACGTTTATTCTTTTGAAAAAAGTAAAACTACATTTTCAAATTTGTCATAATTTGTAAAATGTCCCGCTGTTTTTTAAATAAATAAAAGAAATTACCCTGTATTTCTAGATCGCGAATAACAAGCAAATTCTAATATTTTTATTTACTGGCATTAATGACTGATGTTGGAAATGAGACGTATCTATAGACTCGACATGTTTCAGGTGGCTGAAAAGGTGAAACATTTTTTCCGGTGTTACGCGATCAACAGGCACAAGATGACGGTGCTGACGCCTTCCTACCACGCCGAGACCTACAGCCCCGACGACAACCGCTTCGATCTCAGACCTTTCCTATATCGAGTACACTGGAATTGGCAGTTCAAGACCATAGATGACGCTGTGAGAATTATATTTATGTTCTAGCTAATACTAGCTTGTTGCAATTATGTGGGCCACATTTTCACTTTTAAATACCCTACCTATAAGCCTAAGAGGTTATTCCAGTTACTGAGCTCACGGACTCAACTTGAGTTTGCTAACATGAACCTTAGCAAGATCAGTGCTTCGTAGAATTTACTGAAAAGATTCGGCGAGAAACTCAGTGGGCTCATTCTCACTAGGAATATTTATTATTATTATATATTTGTGTTATTAAATTGAAGAGAAACATTTTTGGGCTGTATTCTGCAATGGCCAATTTGTGCAATATTACTTGCTATTCAAAAACTTATACTTTTAGAAAACGAAAGGCTAAGGTAACCACATCGAATATTGTCAAAAGCCTTAAAACAAAAATTCAATTGAAACGGATCAAATAATTTATCCGAAAATGATTATTTTTATCTTATATATGGTTTATAAAATTATACATATCAATGATACGCAAATTACACATTAATTTTAATATTTTATGTCAAGATATTTTTTTATAAATAAAACATTTTTTTTATTTACATTGCTTGAAACTTGTGTGATTTGAAAAACGTGTACTGTGTTTACATATTTTAATGTGTGATGTTCTTTGCTACCGGCATATTCATATGTTTTNTTTATCTTATATATGGTTTATAAAATTATACATATCAATGATACGCAAATTACACATTAATTTTAATATTTTATGTCAAGATATTTTTTTATAAATAAAACATTTTTTTTATTTACATTGCTTGAAACTTGTGTGATTTGAAAAACGTGTACTGTGTTTACATATTTTAATGTGTGATGTTCTTTGCTACCGGCATATTCATATGTTTTATAACGTGCTTCTCTGATAATATTTTTTGACTGTACCATCGTGAATTATATAAAAAAGAGCGACTTGTAAGGTAAACAAATTAATGTATCAATTCATATTTATGTTTAATTATATCACGAACTTGCTAACTAATTGAGGTAGCCTTTAAAAAATCAATAACACAATGACAATATTTCATAAAATCAAAATACCAGTCATGTATGTTTTCGCTCTGATTTTTGTTCATTATGCTTAAATTTTGAACAAAAATGGATAAGAAATCTACATACAGCCGAATGCGTCATAGCATAAGTATGCTAATCTTTAATAACGTCTTTCAACTGTATCGATGACGCAATTTCTTGTTTACGTCTGTTTAGAATTGAATTAATTTTACAGGTATACTAACTGTACCCGTCCGCTTCGCTGGGCATTTAAAATTAACATTATTATTTCTCACCCCCACAAAGATTCTCATCATTAACTCCCCCGCAACTGGTGTAGGGAGTCCAACACTCATATAAATATTAGCCTATCCATTAAGTACATGTAATTTTTACATGGATACCAAGTTTCAAGCTAATCTGATGCACGGTTCAGTAGTTATAACGGAACATCCGTAAAAACCACTGTAGATTTATATATTAGTACAGAGTATAGATTACCAAACAAATTTTACTTACGCCAGTAGAAAATAGAAAAATAATAATCTTATATATACATTTTTGGTCTATTTTCTATTCGCTTCGAGCTCTTACTCATGCCATCTTATCGCGTGTAGTTCCCCGATAGTACAACCTTCGCCTTATTTTTACTACCGAAATTTCTACAGCCATATCCTTGATTCTCGTTCTGAGAAGCCATGTCCACTTGTCGTGTAAGCTTTAAGCCTTTACTGGTGGTAGGACCTCTTGTGAGTCCGCACGATTAGGTACCACCACCCCGCCTATTTCTACCGTGAAGCAGTAATGCGTTTCGGTTTGAAGGGCGGGGCAGCCGTTGTAACTATACTGAGACCTTAGAACTTATATCTCAAGCTGGGTGGCGCATTTACGTTGTAGATGTCTATGGGCTCCAGTAACCACTGAACACCAGGTGGTCTGTGAGCTCGTCCACCCATCTAAGCAATAAATATAAAAAAATTAATTACTTGTTTCATCTGCAGGTCATACAAATGAGCAAGGAAAAGCGTACATCAGTTAGCCGGGTTGGATATGAGCAGAGCAAAACAAATCCGAATTCTCCGACTACTACATTGAGTTCGTCGTTCACAAAGAACGACAGACAGGGTGTACTGATTTGACATTAATGAACACTAGCTAAATAAATTGCTGTTTCTGACGCGAAGCAGTCACACGTGAGGGTTCGAAGGTGGCTCAAGATGGATGGCAGCATTGTGATATCCATGGGTTCCAATAAGCCCAAACACCCACGTAAGCACTAAAAATTTATATCCAGAGTTCATGGTTATTTGGTTTAAGCGAAATTTTTGAAACTTTACAATGGTGAAATTTAAAGTATAAAATTTTGAAAAATACCATGACAGAAAATCTTCTTCGGCTATTTGAATGGCTGAACTTAATTGAGGTATAGACGAGAATCGTTGGTCTCCCGTCTAGATGTGGATAAGTATGTATGCGTCGTCGTCCGGTGTGTAACGTAATGTGGTAAAGGTATGTAAGTACCTGAGTAGGCGCCGTCGGTGTTCGGATAATAAATTAAATACGACACCTTGCACACTAATTAAATGTTTATTAAAAGTTACACTTAGTCCACACCAAAATACAAAACAGTCTATATTATTATAATTATGAGGAATTGAAGGTTACGAGCACAGATGAGATTCAGTTTATAAACAGTACACAGAAGACACTTTACACTTTACGACAATACTATTACGATAAACACAAAGAAAGCGCGTTATCAAAAGCGAGGCAAAAGCTTCGAAAGCAATAAACAGTATACAATAAGCGATAGCGACGTGCGTTCAGTACGAGGTAAGTTTCGACTGGGGGCGTGGCTAGCCGCGATCAGCTGCGCAGGAGTGCTTTTCGATCTACCCGCGACATTCCGTCCAAGCGCGCGTGTCCACAGCGCGAACGAACGGGCGACCAGCTGATTGACGCGGCACGATAAATTGTCGTGTGTGTATGTCTGTTTTGTATGTAATGTAGTAATAATATATGAATAGATATGTTATATGTGTGAATGTATACTCTGTGTGTATTAATAATTATATTAAATAAATATATTATATAAGTTTTATATTGTGAAGAGTAAATGTGTGTGCATGTAATGTGGGATAAGCCCACAGAGGTTTAACTAAAAACATCGAATTGTTGATGCTAATCTATATATATAAAAATGAATTGCTGTTCGTTAGTCTCGCTAAAACTTGAGAACGGTTGGACCGATTTACCTAATTTTGGTCTTGAATTATTTGTGGAAGTACAGAGAAGGTTTAAAACGTAGACAAATATGAAAATATTCGGAATTAAATAAAAATAACAATTTTGTTTTTCCTTTGATGTGTCCCCCGTCGGACGGATTCCTTTTATTTGCTTTAAGTTTATTTATACAAAAGTTTAGGTTTTTTATTTATCGATTGAGGCACTACGAAGTCTGCCGGGTCAGCTAGTACAAAATAAAACGCAACTTTATTTACAACAATAAATGTCGCGTATTTAGCGAAATGTCGCTTAAAACAAATAGCCTGTCACCCCTCGATGTACTTATATGTATATTTATTTATTTATTTGTACCGTAGAGATTTGAGATAATCAGTTCTCTATGTACGGCCGATGTGTTAATGTGAATTTAAATCACGCGTAGAAAATTAAAAATAGAAGTATGTATTAACATTTGCCTGGTTTATCGTAATGACAGTATTGACAGTATTGTAGTTTTGTTGGTGCTTGTGTGATGAGTTTTTATTTGTATTAAGCAATAATTTAGATGTGTAGTTTAGCGATAACCGAACTGTGTCGTGGTACAAAGTTGGTGATTAAAAGATATATTTATAGACACAAATCATGAATGTTAAATAAATGTTCCTCAAAAATTTATCGTAGTTTCTTTTAAATTCGTTTCTTTAAGAATAATTTTATCACGGGATTCGATAATAATGCAGCGGAAAAACTTCGTTGCTTAAATAATGAAACGGTGGGCGTACTCTATAGTTATCTGTTACCAAAACATTGTTAAATAAATTTAAAATGTCACTAAGTATATACGTTCCTAATGCTTTTACATAAATAAATTTCAGAACGAAAGTCTAAGTTGGTAATAAAAATATAAACTATTATCGCAAATTCTTGCTATCCCGTACGGGTAGGTACCACCGTCTTGCATAATTCTGTCCCGAGGCAGCCCTAAATTCCGGATTGAAAATAACATTGTTATGCATTGGCGACCTTGAAGCCATCCGTTATTATCTGTACTATTCAATGGAGTTTACTTTTCATATTAATCAAATATGTACCTTTAAATTTTAATTGAATTAAGAGGTTTTGAAGATTTTTGGTTTTCCTTACCGTTATCTTTCCTGCACCTGGCCACTATGTCAGAAGTGTTGCGGTTCTCGCCGGACTTTCCCGGCGGATTCTTTTTTTTATATTTTTTTTTATTGCCCTTGTAGGCAGACGAGCACACGACCCACCTGATGGTGAGTGGTTACCCACCTGATGTGATTCTGATTACGATCCGGCAATATACGCAGTCGCAAAGCAGCTTATCTTGATCTATCAGGAGGCTTTAGTAGCAGGCGTTCAGGCACTTGTGATCAAACCCCAATAATAATAATAAAAAACGAAGGAATAAGAGAAAGTGTTGAATGAAGCAGATTTTGATTGAAACTGCCTAATTATCTTGTCTTTCAAAGATTAATTTTCCCAACTTGAAATCTGTCGGTATTGGAAAAAATACACCCTGTATTCCTGGATTCTACATAATGATCTACATTACCGGAATAGCACGGTTGTTGGAAATGATATTCAAATATAGTCTTATCTTAATAGTTTTTGTAATATTCTACTAAGTTGTTCGTGTATCGGCTCTATACCTTTGCAGGCGTATTTTAGATGCGGAGTATGCGGTTAACGACGAAAAAGGTGTATTATTAGTGTCCGAAATAGTTTAGTACGATAACAGAAGACAGTCGTATTTTATCGCCAATTATGTTTATGAATCAAACTAGCGACCCGCCCTCGCTTCGCTTCGGAAACATTAAAATACACATGAAAGCAAAAAAATAAAATAAAAAAAATATTTAAAAAAGTAGCCTATGTTCATCAGGGACAATGTCGGCTTCTAATGGAAAAATAGTTTTTCAAATCGGTCCATTAGTTTCGGAGCCTATTCGAAACAAACAAACAAACAAATCTTTCCTCTTTATAATATTATTATAGTATAGATATAGATAAGTTTATGAATTTTATTTCGCTTAAAATGATTCAATCGTTGGTATTAACTTATGAATATTTCATGATAACAATTATGTTATGTAGATAACGAAATATATAATTTACATGGCTTTAAATTGGCGTGAGTTGAAACAGGTGTTCTATGTTTACTTTTTACAATCTGTAAAATACCAACACATCATTGCTACATACAGGAACATATTTGCATTTACAATTCGAAATTTATAAAACTTAACAATTTTAATAGTAGGTACAACCTTATCATTTATGAGCAAAGACGACCTTATCATTTATGAGCTTTCATACACCTGTCTAAAAGCCCAGTAAAGTTATAAGCTCCAGTACAAAAAAACAAATTGAAAAAATTCTTAATTAGTGATTTATATTAACTATTAGTCAACAATAGTCATTTATATTAACAGTAATAGAGGCCTATTGCGTAAGGAAATACAAAATACCTTACAACATATTACAACATTTAAACATTAAAGCGTATAAAATAAGAATATCATTGATTTCATATTTAGTTTTTGGCGGAAGTTTAAAAATGCTATCTATTAAGTTTCTTCACCATTTTACGATAGTCCACTCATCTCCGTAAAATCAAACAAAGAAGACGCTGGTGATTGAACAAATCCTTAAAAATACCAATACGTGTCTATTCAGACTTATATCCTAATTCTGTTTGATAGAAAAGAAATAATAAAAAAATATTAATTAATTTATCCTCGCTGACAGCTAATAAATTCTCCCCCTTATTGCATGAGTAAAATTGGAAACGTCCATAATAATGAATGTTTATGGACAAAAAAAAATATATATATATATATATAAATCTTCTGTTCGATTATGTTTGTAAATAAAATTTATGATAATTCATTCGGATTTTGAAAATTAGTATAATATTTTAAACTTAGATATAGGCACAAATAAAAATAAAATTTTTTTAGTACTACTTTAATTTATGCACGGAAGGCAATTTTGAAATAGGTATTGTATTTGGTAATTGCCACAATAATTTATAAGTAAACTCAATGTTATTTTTAAAGTGTTTGTAAGTCTCATTACAATGTTGTGTTTCTACGACTTAGCGCCCCAAAAAACCTGTAAAATAAAATAAAATTTCTTAAGTCACAGTTCGTTATAGAAAAATAATAATTAAATATTGTTTAGGCTTTTTTGTGTACCACGAAACATAAATGCTAGTGATATTTATAGGGTGATATTTATTATATTTCAAAAAGAGAAACTTCGTAAATTATAAATTAAACCGCGATATTAAATCATAATTACTTGTCGAAATTTTGTAATAGCGCCAGTTACCTTGTCTTGTCACCATTGACACGAAAAAAAAACATATTAATCTGTATTTGTTTGTATTATTAAGATCATCAATAGAATTTACAGAACATAAATAAAAATAAATGATTATGCATTGAACTGTATTCCATCATTGACAAAAGCATTGCGAGGAATAGGCTAGGTGATAAGAGAAGATAAAAAAAAAACTAATATTTTTAATTAAATATGTTTACTTCGACTTTTGTATTTGGCAAATGACTTAATTAATTTTGTTCTAACAGAAATATTACCCTATACTTTTATGCTCTGTGTAGGTACGAATTAACATTCTGCCTATACTTTTATATGTTAAGCTTAAAATATTAAATTAGAAAAGTCTAATTTCAACTCAAAGCAAAGGTAGTCATGACTTAACACTTTAAAGCTTATCGTGTTATCTTTTAATGTAGTATATAACAATCCGAATTAGTTACTTAAGTTCTTAGAAAAAATATAAATTATTAATTATTTTTTTCTCCTAACTATTCGCTGGCAGCCTAAGGGACTATTCCAGCTACGCCCGGACGGGTAGGTGAGCTCACGGGCTCAACCCGAGAGAATTTGCTAAGACTAGCACTAGCAAGAGCAGTGCTTCGCAGAATCTACCACTGGATAGGAATCGCGACCCATTGAGAAGAATATAAATTAACCGAATGTGTGACTTTGATAGAATGATTAATAGCTAATTACAATGTTACATTTCATTACACATGTTCATTACAGACTACCAGCAAATAGGTAGGGAAAAAGGACAAGCGCATTTCTACTTTGCTTTATTTATAAGTCTCTTATGTTTTCATTGGTAACTAAATTCCCAAGCGTTATTTTTTGACAATTTGATCGTGTTTTTTTAAACATCGTTTACATTTTTAGGCACAATTTTGAAACGTCAACATTTCGTAATTGTAAGTAGTCCATAAACATTTGTGAAATAATTAATTTACGATTTATTAGTAATATCATAATAAAGGCGATCGCATGCGGCAGAGATGCGAATGTTGCGATGGATGTGTGGAGTAACGAGAATGGATAGAATACGGAATGAATATGTTAGAGGATCTCTGAAAGAGTGGCACCTGTGACAGAAGCTAAGGAGTGCGCGTTTGGGATGGTATGGACATGTGATGAGACGAAATGAAAATGAGGTTGGTAAGAGAGTGTTAACTATGAATGTGGAAGGATATAGAGGAAGAGGTAGACCTAAGAAGAAATGGATGGATAGTGTGAAAGACGATATGGGTAAGAGGGGAGTGAGCGAAGAAATGGTATATGATAGAAGAGTATGGAAGGAGAAAACATGTTGCGCCGACCCCAGGTGACTGGGAGAAGGGCAGGATAATGATGATGATGATATCATTAGTAATATCCTGTTAAGAATACTAACTGCATAAACTTGTGTTTGTTTTTGGGATGTCTTCTTGATCTTCGGATATTGCAAATTTTACCGTTCAATATAATGCTTAATAATGTTTGAAAATAATATTCATTCCGAGCTCAATACTTAATTTACTTACCGAAGAAGGTCGTTCCAACTTTCTTCGCAAAATCTGCGATGGCGCCAATAGGGTTCACTGTAAATGATACAACCATTAAATGATATTGTCGTTTATAAAATCATTGAAACGATGTTCTATCAAATATTCATTAATAGCCGTAATAATAAAATGACATTTAATTATTGCTAATGTATGCCAATGCTGTGTTTCATATAATTTAAATAACCAATCTTCCTGTTGCTAAAAGATTTTGAAGATTTGTTAAATGAATGAATGTCGTTGTAAAATTTTAGAATTCTATTCATTTTAAGTACAAATCAATCTGATAGTTATCGTATCCGAAAAGTACAATTTTGATCTTAATTCGGGAACTATAGGTTAAAGTAAAGTTTTTATAAATAAAAGCTTTATTTTAAAGACAGTCTGGCCATAAATACTGACCAAAACAATAATGTAATATTAATATTTAGAACCTCTCATTCTTTTAAAAATGTTCATTGTGATTCCCGTTTTATCGAATATTCTTGTTATTTAGAAATAAAAGAGACACATTTGCTATGGAACGAAATTATGTCACATTATTACACAAGTTAAAGTTCGATGGTAAAAATAAAACAGTTTCATAGGCTTCTAAGCAGATTTAGAAAACATGAATTCCCAGAGCAACCGAGTTTATGCTTCAAGCTATTCAAAGACTTCTCAATTTGTTAGTAAGCTTATACGGCTATAATTATGGTTTGGTGCAGTTTTAGCTATTAAGGGACTGAGCTATATTTTTGAGTTTCCGAAGACTGGTCGGCGTCTAGTTCTGTTTTGACCGTGGGGTCGTCGCGTCCCCTTGCGGGTGCACGGAACGGGCCTCGGGTTTTCCGGGGTCCTGTTTTGAGTCACTACATTATGCTTTATGCTTCTTTTAAACACTCTAGCACGCTCTAAGTGCCATAATAATTTGGAGTCCCTAAAACATTCCATAAGATTGGTAATTGTAAACTTTCCATGGAGAAAGTGCGTATTCAACCGAAACCTCGTCCGTCCGAAACCCGGTCACAACGTTTAAAATATTATACTAAGGCTATGGAGAAAATATTACATGTGTCACATTAACCAACCAACCAATATATAAACCAACGCTCCCTCCAGATTGTTTCATTAAATAAAATAAAGAAGCATATCTTCATTATCAAAATGTATATGGCGGCGACGCATCGGAGTAGACAGAGGACTCTCACATTCCATTACCTCCTTCTGTGCGATGGTGAACTCGCAGAAGTCAAGCATCACCTACCAAGACTAGTTCGGACTTATTTCAGCATCGAGACTATAACCCCTGTTTCTTCCAGAATCTTATTTGCCTAACGTAACCATAATGGTATCCAATGGATGTAAATTAGAAAGTAGTAAAGTAGCATCAGTAGATCGAGGTGACTGGACTCTCATACCCGTAACTTCTGATTCATAACATTTGAAAATTTTATTCAAGGTGGGTGAACAACAGATGAATCGAGAGCTAGTTTAGTTATCAAAGCAGTGGAGATACTAGCATTATGATGATCCGCTCCTATGGATTTTGTTGTCTACAGAATTATATAAATTGAAGTTTTGTTCAAAGTAAAAAGATCATTTACATATTGGTGAGTCTGCAGGAGAGGTTCCGGCTGCAGGGGAGGTTCCGGCTGCAGGGGAGGTTCCGGCTGCAGGGGAGGTTCCGGCTGCAGGGGAGGTTCCGTCTGCTGGGGAGGTTCCGGCTGCAGGAGAGGTTGCAGCTGTGGGTGAGGTTGCCGCTGCAGGTGAGGTTGCCGCTGTAGGTGAGGTTGCAGCTGCAGGTGAGGTTGAGGCTGCCGGAGTTGCAGCGCCTGGCGTGGAAGGTGTGGCAGTAGAACCGATGGCAGTGTCTAATGCACCCTTTAATGCGGATGCAGGTTTCATTATTTCTGAGGCCGCACCCATGAGTGCACTTGCTGTTTAAAACAATAAAGTTCAAATGAAATTTACGATACACACTTTTGTAAAAACTGAATGTGAACTTTACAAAAGTATGCTAATTTTGTTTTCGTTAAGCATTTGCCTAAATAGGTATACCAAGCCGATTAAGACGATATAGTAATTCAGTTTAGCACTGAACACATAGCATTACTATAATACTTCTTCATTAAAGGAGTAGGTGGACTATATGCTTTTTGATAAAAAGTATTTTACCAGGATCAGCTGGAATACAGGAAATCTGAAACAGAATAAGACTGAGATTAGTACCGATTATAAAAACATAGTAAAGAGACCTTTCCGGAAGTTAAAACTGAAAGAAACTACTAGTCTCCATTATAGGTAACAATCGACCGCTGACCAAATGTGTTTCCAATTGTCGTAAGCGATGTTGTGTGAACTGGTGGAAACCGCTCCTCCTTTTCTTTTTAGATCACAGAGTCCGCGCGTCAGATGGCTTAGCAAGAAACCTTCATTAAAATTGCTTTTAACGGTTTTATCTCGCGTTTTTAATGTCGTAGAGGTCATAGACGACTGACTGTATTGGAAAGATTGTAATTACAATAATAAAAAAATACGAAATTAACCCGTAAAAGTGGTTAATTATGAGTTTAATTATGAGTCACGGGACTCTCGAAAACCGAAGAGAATACTAAAAAAATTATTTTCGAATAGGTCTAAAATAAAACAGCTTTCAATACTGGCTGTATGTTTATAAAAACATGGGAAAAAAACCACAGTCAATAAACGGAGTTAGGCATCTGAACCCACAATCAATTATCAAAGCGAAGTTTAGCATTCATGTTCCAGTGTCTACAGGTAGGGCGATCGTTTAGAAATAAATGGAGACATATAATTTCTATTACTTACCGTCTGTACTGATAGTACGACGAACGAAACAAGGCACAATAATTTCGTCATTATTTTTATGTTACAGGCTAACGATCGAATGTACAACTGACTACTTATTCCGATTCGCCAAACTCAGACAATTTATATAGTAGAATTTTAAAACGTCACAGTTGCGAGGTTCATTTGAATAAACTAATTTGTACAACGGCAACGCAAAATTTTAACAATAAACGTTAAACAACGAACTAAAATATTTTTGACGTCGACTGACTGATTGACTGACTAATTGCTTTCGAAAAGCGGAAAATAAGTGATCTTTGTCAAATGGATTCTTGTATTCTATTTTGATGACGTCATTCATGGCATTGGGTAAAATCACCTTTATATAGATTAACTAGCTGACCCGGCAAACATTGTTTTGCCATATATAAGATTTCTAGGGAATTTCTAGTGTAGAAAAAAAAACTAACTTATTGTAAGTGTGTAAGGATGTGGTAAGAGGTATGTAGTGCTGTGAACGATGAGGGAATATATAATAAAAATAACAAAACCTCATTCAACCACATAATACCTCATTATAACAAAAAAAATATGTCCAAATAAAAAAAAATATGTTAGGGGTGGACAACCCTAATCACTTAAGGGTATGAAAAATAGATACCGTAAAATGGGGTAAATAGGGACAAAATCGAACTTCAGATTGAATTTTAACATAGTTCCAATTAAATAGTCACTGCTCAACCAAAGAAATAAGTTGAGTCTTGAACGTACCTAGGTGATAAAAACTGTTACATTATTTTAATTATTCAATTTAGAGAAATAATCGGTAAAATAATGGCCGTCCCAATTTACCCAGCGTCCGGGGTAAATTGACACGGTTAAGGGTTAAATTGGGATATTTGTAAGGGTTGTCAACTCGCAGTACTGCGATATATAGGTAGGTGCCATATAATTATTTATATGGACCGAAATGATGAATACAATCCATAATTTAAGCACAATACACAACATAGTGTAAATTAAGCTGGTTTCTATTCCGAAGCGATGTGACGTGAATGATAATCAACAATACAATGATCAAAAAAAGTATGTGCATGTTATATTTTAGAAAATTATTATTTAATTTCCTTAAAAATCACAACTCTGAAACAAAATCATAAAATAGAATAAAAAATAGAAAACAAAAGGACTGGAAATGCAATAATACAATTTTATTTAATCAACATTTTCAAAATAATCTTTGAGCAAGAGTAAGATATCAGGTGAATAAGATAAAAAAACAGCTTTATCTGATTACTGCCAATAATAACAAAAATAAAAGAAATTCTTTCTAAGCTAAATAACTAAACTCAATTAATTCACTCACTCATAATTGGATATCTCGGATTTTTAATTAATGTTACATTTAAAATCTGAGGCCTGTTTTTATTTGTGTGTGCGTTTTGAATGTTAACAAAATCATGATTCGACGCGTGAATAGATTCTGAAATAACAAAAGTTTTGATTCGTTTGAGTTCTTTTAACTTTTAATTTTTTTTATTGCTATAAAGAACATACGACCGGGCAGATATTACAAGGTAAATGTCGCGAAAAAAAAGTAATTATATATATACTTTTCTTTTACCTATAATACTTACATAAACTAACTGATAAACACATTAACCTTCTTTACATCACGCAATTAAGTGATAGTATAGGCTAAAAAATCTATTATAAGATATCAGTGACAACCCTAACAAGCCATCCCTATTTTGTCTTTTGGCGTTCCAATTTTGTGTTTTCTCGTCCCTAATTTTTCCAGTCTCGTTCCCAATTACCCTACATACGTCCCAATTTTCCCCAAAAAGAAAGGAAAAAATATACATTTTTTATTTTGTCGAAATATTGTATTTAAAATAAGAATATTGCAACTTACCGTTTGTTGTGGTATTTCCAGGTGTATTAAAAACTTATATAAACTGTGATCTTATTGAAAAAACAACGATAATATTACTTTTTTTAAAAGTTCTGTAAGCTGTTTTAAAACGCACTTTTCAACCACTATTTTCAATTTAATTTGACGAATTTTTGGGACCGACTTAACTCATATTTAGTACTTCCATAGTTAACTTGGTTTTTCTTCTATACATTGATAAATATTAACATAAACAAAATTAGGTAGATTCCGTGCTACAGGTACTTTGAGAATCTTCCGCAAGTTTGTCCCAATTTACCCCAGGATCCCAATTTACCCCATGTCATGGTAGCCGACTCTCAGGCTTACTGAATATGCATAAAAAATTTCATGAGAATCGGTCAAGCGGTTTCGGAGGAGTATGGGAACGAACATTGTGACACGAGAATTTTATATATTAGATGTTATTAAACTTTATGACATTCGTTTTAATAGAAGGTTAAGTATCCTTGGAAAAAAATTATCGGGTACACCAATGGTCATTTAAAATGTTGTTTTAATTTTTACCTACCTAAACATGTAATGATGGCTCATCGTTTAGTTCTAAGATTCTGTACCAAAAGCCAAAAGGCCGAGAAGCGATGAGATAGACTTTAAAGCTACCAGCGAATAGGTAGGGACAAAAAAATACGTTCGAAAATTCCGTTACGCACAAACAAACATACTAAGATTCTGTTTATACGATATATGATCGAGGAAGTCGGTTCTGACCCTTAAAATTCGATAAGAAAAAACAAAAGTACCTCTGTATATTAACAACGTTCATTTGGTAACCTAGTATACAAATACAATATCTAATATGTTAATAACATACTACTCGTAATACATAAATGCAATCGAGTTTAGGTGTCTGAAGCCCTAATCTAAAGTAATTTAGGTCACGGTCCTTGTCGAACTAACCCATATACATAGCCTACTGAGTTTCTTTATTTTTTATTGCCCATCTGGTGTTAAGTGGTTACTGGAGCTCATAGACATCCACAACGTAAATGCGCCACCCACTTTGAGATATAAGTTCTAAGGTCTCAAGTATAGTTACAACGGCTGCCCCACTCTTCAAACCGAAACGAATTACTGCTTCACGGAAGAAATAGGCAGGGTGATGGTACCCACCCGCGCGGACTCACAAGAGGTCCTACCACCAGTAATTACGCAAATTATAATTTTGCGGGTTTCATTTTTATTACACGATATTATTCCTTCACCATGAAAGTCAATCGTGAACATTTGTTAAGTACGTATTTCATTACAAAAATTTGTACCCGCCTGAGATTCGAACACCGGTGCATCGCTCAATACGAATGCATCGGACGTCTTATCCGTTAAGCCACGACGACTTCAAAACGACGACTTTCTCGCCGGATCTTCTCAGTGGTTCGCGATTCCGATCCGGTGGTAGATTCTGAGAAGCACCGCTCTTGCTATGGCTAGCTAATTCTCCCATGCTGAGCTCGTGAGCTCACCTACCTTTTCGGGCGTAGCTGGAATAACGTCTTAGCCTATCAACGAATAGGCAGGGGAAAAAAACTTAACTTAAGCATCTCGTTACGTCGCATAATATTGCACTGACACGTCACAGATCCTGCTCACTTTGTTTTGGCAATCGTATCTATGAATGTATCAGGTATAGGTAATTTTTTATCTCACTATTTTACTATAGTGATGCAAAAGCAGTGATTTTTATCTTTTGAACCATAAGTCGAAGCTAAAATTGCATATTTTTTTGCGGGCGAAGCTGTTTTGGCGGCTTGTAATAAATAAACCTTTCATATTGAACTGTCGGTAACTGCCCGAAGCTAGCATCGCTTCTTGTGCTACGGGAATGTACACAAATAAACTTGACCTCCAAAACCATTTTTTGTCGTAAAATATTGACTTCGATCATGTAAAGAACCTAGAACCGTTGTTCAGAAATAAGTGCCACTACGTCAACTTTACACAAGCAGAGGAGTTCACGTTCCACACGATTCGGAGTGGTAGCCAGTGTGCTTAGTGCGAGTTTCTTAACGTTCTCGATAGCGTAAAAGTTAAGCCAATTTTGTACGCAATTGCAACAGCGCCTCTAGCGGCTAACATACGCAAACGATCCCATTCCATACAAATATGAGCTAACTTTTACGCTATCGAGATCGTTAATAAACTCGCACTAAGCACACAGAGCTCATAATACAAAAGGAATAACGTCACTCATTTTGCAACCATCACGTCATCAGGGTAACAGCAGAAAGCATGCAATAGCTCAATCGTTCAGTTTAAAATTTGGTCAAGCAAGAATCTATGTGATGGATAAATTCTATCTGATAGTACGCATTTAGTTCTAAATTAACGTACACGTTGACCGATCCAGAAGTAACAATATCATTGAATAACAATGTAATTTAAAGTGACCGTTTATTATACCACAAGCAAATAACACTGAGTTAAATAAATAAATAAAATATTATAAATAGCCGTTGTCGTAAGTAAATTGATTTATTGTGCGGATTAAAATACGGAAAACTGATTTTCAAAATTTTTCATACAATTTTACGGTAAAACCGTTACGTTCGTCCAAATAGATGTAGGCTTCACATTCGCTGTGCGGATATCTTCGAGCTTCGGAAATGCCATTTGCAGTTGAACTGTAATGTAGACAAAAGTTGAAGCCGCTATGCTGAACACCAAGCCGGGGTCGAATCGAAAACTATACATCGAACTTCGGCCATCTCGGAGTTCTAATGTACGACGCACAGTTTTGATCAATTCGAAGGTTTCAGCTGAAAACGGGAGAATTTAAAATCCTAGAAAATACACAACATACGAAAGGAAATATTAATTTAGGTTCAATATTCAGTAATGGCGTTTGAAGTGGTCGTCACACGTCAAAAACAATTACAATACCAGTTGCTAATATGTTAATTTAGCAATTCAGTGTCGTACATGCCTATTGTATTTTTTTGGCGTTTATGCGAACTAAGACATTATTTAAGTTACTTTTACGGTTTAATCTTCCGATTATTCTTAGCATTTTGTTGTTTCTAATGCTTCGAATATTTTACAGTTCTGGTCAGTGATGAGGAAAAGTAGTTTTAATTTTATTCCTATGCATTGGTTTTTAAGTAAGTTACCCCGAGCTCACTGGGTACAATAACGGTGATGAAGCAGTCTCTCCCCGTCTGAACCTTTGAGATAAGACTCAAAGTGAGATGCAATGTTACAAGAAATTTATGAACATTGTTGCCGAAGATTATGTCAAATGCAGAGCGAAGCGGAAGACAATAAACCACTAAAATCTGACTTTCTATCAAAATATTAAAGATTGGAAATATT